AAGAAGAAGAAGAAGAAGAAGATATAATAGGTGAAACTTTGTGGCACCTCCTGCATTACAGAAGATTAAGACCCCAAAAGTTAATGAGAAGCATTGCTTACAGTGACATCGTTATTCAAATACTACGTTACTGCACTGGCAGCCAAAAGCACTTACATTCATAGCCTTCAGGCTACCCTGGATCTTCACCCCTGGGATCTCACTGTACCAGGAAGCAGCCAGATTGCGCATCACGTCCAGCTGGAGGTTGACAGGCTGCAAAATCTCTATATCTGGCTGAGAAGAATCTCCTCTCAGGACAGTCCTGGAATAATTCAGCACATAATAAGTGAGGAATGTCTGCCAGGTTTGTGTTTAAAGATTTGTACTATTTACTATTCATATTTCTAACATTGACTCAAAGATTATAAAAACAAAGCCTGTGAATACTGAAAGGGTCTGAGTGTATCCTCTCATCTGCAGAGATCATGGGAGATGGAAGTGTATGAGAGGTTAGTAGTGTAGTTCACCTGGACAGCTTCAGCTGTGTGAGCTGGACGTCCATTTGGTCAATGACAGCTGGCAGGGTGCAGCCCCCCACAGGATGAAGGCAGAACTTGTTCTGCACGGTGATCAGACCCAGGTCAACCTCCAAGGCATTCTGGGATGTGGAGGACTGAGGTATGATGATGACTGGGGCCTTCAGCCTGATGTCCATCAGGAGGCGGAAGCTCTTCTGGGCCAGATCCCTCACACTGGAGGCTGCCTTTTCAGCAGCCTGGGCTGTGGCCGCAGACAAGGCCTCCTTCGCAGTTTGGAAATTATCGACGAATTTCTGAGAGGAAAGAAGACCACGTGAATACATAGTATTGGTCAAAGAGATTCCTCTTCTATCCATTTCCACAGCCATGGAGGGAGTAAGCGCTGTTAGAATGGCGTCCTTGTGTCATTTTGCTTCACACTGCTTGTTAGTAGTTGAAAGCCATGCAAGAGAGTAGCAGACGCCAGCTGATCTGACTTCCAGTCAAATTTGCTTAAACCAAATGCAAATTTGAAGTAATGGCTGGCTGGAGCCATGTATTGTGAATTCTAAGTGCATAAAAGCAGGTTACTTCTCAATGGCTTAACTGCTCGTTCTGGACATATGGTATTTCACTCTTCACACTCTGCAATACAACCATTCCAGCTGGAAGAAATCTCAAGTTATCACCTGTTATCTTGTTACCGCACAAAAGCCAGTAACAGGGTTTAAATTTAGTGGTCAGAAATGGAATGGAATGTATACTTTGATTGTAATCCTTGTGCATTTGGGCATTAACAAAACAGAGAAAGATTTTGATCTCTTATACATTATTTTTCATGTCAAAAATACTTGAGATTTTGAAATAAGTTTATAAATATTATTGAGTGAGGCATTCAAAGGCGTTTTACTAATTTAACACATCATGCATGTGCTCTTTAAAACCTATTAGATGAGTAATTTATTAAAAGCAGAAATCTCATTTGAGCATAACAATGACATCTACAGAGATGGAAGACAGTGGCTCTTAGTTGCATAAAGGTTTGGCATTAAAGCAAAAATGTGAAACTGACACAGACCCGTAAACTGGCATTTGCTGTCAAAGTGTAGCAATTAAATTATATTTTTTTTATTACAAAAGGAAACAGAACCTTTTTTATTTTTTCACTGAAATAAAAATAGCCAGGCTACATTAGCATGCCTCCACTGTCACCCAAACAGAAGGAACAGCATTTGTAGCTTCATTAACACTGCATTCTAATTCGGAAGTAGGCGTTTTCATTTTTAAATTGTGCAGGTGAAAAACAAAGAATTTTTAATTTTATATTAAATATGGTTTTTTTCCGACCCCATTATGAGCTTTTGGAATTAAATACGAATTGATATGAGTACGTGAAGGCTCACACACCTACATACAGTACATCCCGAATTTAGTAAAGAGCTCATTACAAAAAGTGGGTTGCAGTAATGGTTCTACCCAGACATACAGTAGCAGACTCAAAGTGCATTGTGTGCTGTAAGTGAAGCTGTCAAGGCCAACAGTGCACTGTCTGTTCAAGGTTGCATGCCATAGCTTGTACCTGGTGAGGCGAGGAGTACTGATAGCTAAGAAGGTCCTGAAAAGAACAACAGGGATTTACAGTAGGAAATAATGAAAAAGACAGAGCAGGAAAGGAGACTGCAAGGATCGTATGAAAAGAAGAAAAAAATATTCTAAACACATAGCACATTTTACTCCAGAGACTCGGCTCAAATTAATTTATAGTCTAATGTACTTCTAATAAGCCAAATCACTGTATTTTAAACTGTAAAGGAACAACAGGGAAAGATTAGTATTGGTCTTCCTTTTCAATTAAAGTAACATCAATCCTTTTAGATGAAGTAATGGAAACTAATAAAATAGAAACAGTTTAGAAACAGTGTGCCAACATCTGTGACCACTAAATACATAACAGACAACTTTTGATCCTGTAATTAAGAGCAACAGAGAGAAATGTCACCTTCAAACAAGGAATGAGCTGAAAGTGCCACTTCTGTGAGATTACATGCATAAATGTGTATTTTGTAAATCTGGAAAATCTCCACATAACGTAGCTTTTTTATAAAACTTTTATAAAGATAGTATAAAGATTCTCTCAAGAAAAGGCTAGACGAAGTCCTGAGATCAACGAGCTACTAGCAATAAAATCAAGTTAAATTGGCCAAACTGTCACCCCTCATCTGAATTCCATTCTTATGTTCTGAAGTAGTGCAATAAAAAACCCCTTTACTTCTTTATATTGGCTATAGGTGACAGCATTAGGCACTTTTTAAATTAATAGAAACGTGGAAATCCATGGTACTCACTAAGAGCGACATCAGGAACTTGTGCAGATAGAAAATCTGAATGCAGCCCAGCTTCAGAGTCACCTTCCCATCAGCCTTTGAGGTGTCAGCATACCCATCGCCTTCTGTGGCATTTGGATACAGCCACATTTGGAAGCTGAACACTTCCTCTCCCACAATGGAGACAGCCTACAAGAGAGAGAAAAAGGTAACTATGCCCCACCGCTTGGTATCATACATGGAAAAAAACGACCTAGAAAAGGGCACTCCTCCAACACATCCATCTGTCAGTGGAATTTTTCATTTGGCTTGCACTTCGCAGTACCATAGCGGAGAGTTAGCACAGACTGGGAGGGCACTGCATTGCTCACTGAAGTTGCTATATGCCAGCAGCCACCAAACACATCTGCGGACCCACTGTTTCACACTAAGTCAAGGGAACCCCAATCAACTAAAAGTCCATCTAACCTCAGTATTGCTTGTCCAATTGTCCAGATGTAGGCTAACACGTGAGCACTCCCAGTCAACTGCTGACATAGCCCAGGATCAAATCAACAACATCTCTGGTATTATTATGCTAATTATTTTTAATATATGCCAGCCTCTGTGTACATCAGGCTCTGTATCGTGGGCACAAACATGCTTGTGTATAATCACATTAGTCAGTGCAACTTGTGGAAATCTATTCATAACTGATGCATGACACCACTCTGCATTGTTCAAGGTAGCAGTTTCCGCTGAAAACAGCTCTGCTGGAAATGCAAACAACATCATCAACAATCAGTCTTTCACACAACAAAAAAAGAGCAAGAAGTAGCTCTCTTTCAGTGCTGCTAAATTAGTTACCCTTTGTGAGTTGATTTAGAACCATCAAAATCTATTAAAATACATATTTTAATCTTAGGGTAAGTAAAACAAGAAGCAAACATTCTTAAATGAAATACACTCAGAGGCTTTCAGGGCTATGGAATTATTAATCACTCTCCTGCATCACTAATTGAGCTGCATCCTACACATGTGTGCTAATAAAAGGAGAGAAATTAATTACTTTACAAAAAACTGAGCAATATGCACACTAAACTGTCTTGCAAGGATAGGCTTCCCTATGACCCCAAACTGGATAAAGAGGTTAGAAAATTCAATTTTCAATTTTCTAGAATTTGGTCAGACTTAGTTATTTTCTGTTTAGCAGTGATGGTTCTCTATTTAGGCTATCCAATAAATATTTGACAGCTGAACTTTTGAAAGGATCCAAGACATCCATTCTGAAGAGAGGAAGCTGTTCAAGGAGCACATGGGTTATAGCAAGGCACCCGAACTCCACAATCCTACAATAATTAATCCTACAATTAATCATGAGATATAACTACAGTTCAAAGCAAGGTAAGGTACAGTATCTTACCTTTTTGTGAATGGTTTTCGGGTCGACATCTATCACAACAATGTCCCTAAGTCTTGCAAAAAGTTGGGTCTCATTTGCTTGGACAAACATTGATGCATCTATGCCTATAAAACAAATGTATGTAATGTATTTTAAAACTCTAATGTTTAACGTATTTCAATATAAGCAATATCAATTTGATTCAATTAATAATGGTATACTGCATATTTAATCAGAAATGCACTCAACGGGTACTGTATTTCATTCTTGTTTACCTTGAATTCTGATGTCAGCTATACTTCGTCTATCATCACAAACCCCAACGTGGAAGGAGCCCAGCACTGCAAAGACCTTGAAATTATAGATGTCCTTGTCCTTTGATCCTTTTGACACTGTAAACAGGAAAAATGTTAAATAATCAGTATGAATCAACACACAATAATACCTCCACCACAACTTCAGGTCGGATGGAATATTTTGACAAGTGCGTGCTGCACTACAACTTCGTTTTGTGCATGTCCACTGAGTAAAAGCAAAGCTTATTTAAAAAAATACAGAAGTGTCATTCCCCTTGCTTTGCATACAACATGAACGCCATTTAAAGAGTGAATTAAAAAAGACGTTGCCTCTTTTGCCCGACGTCTCTTTCTCTGCATGCTTTTTGGGCTCGGTCTCTCCAGAAGCAGGGAGGCTCGGAGGAATGGCGGCAGTGAGATAGTTAATCGTGGACAGCAGGGCTTTGGTATGCAGGAGGAAGTCAAGAGATGACAAGGCCACCTGAACAGGGGTACAAAAAAAACCTCTGTTGGAGTGTTCTTTAGAAACAAAAATATTACAATTGTTCAAGACCTACATCAAAATATCAAACTACACCTACCATAGGGAAGATCACCTCAACAAGGAGCTAATAGGTCAACTTTTTGGGTGGTTGAGTCAGAAAATTGTAATGTAACAGCAATGATCATGGTGTGCAGTTTCTATATTGCAGCTAGGGCAATGGTGATGTAAATGAATGTAATGAACACACTTACCAAGCAGTGGAATTCAGTATATATTCAATAAGTAAGTGTACTGTATGTGACACAATTAAGAATGAGATTCATTAACAAATTAAAACCAAGGCCTTAGATCTTAATTACTCTGAATGTCAAGGCACTATAGTAATTGCCAAAGGAAGTTATTTAGTACACAGGATTTCTAAAGAGTATTTTTACAGGTATATGCAAAGAATATTAAATTATATAGAAAATACTGTTATCTAAATAATACATGTAATATGTACATTAGTGAAGCAAGCAGGAATACCAGGATGCTCTCTGTGAGCACTAACAAGAACAAAAGAAAATGGAAATTTCTTTGAATGAAATGAAATCCTTTAAACCAATCCATGCATGAGCATGTATAGTGCATCTTCACAACTGTTTATTGTTGTTGTCTGTATTCCTTCATTACTATACAGCTATACATTTTTGCCATTTGTTTTGTGTCTCTAAAATAAAGAATTAAAAGAACTTAAAATGTTATATTACTATGAAGTCTAATCCCTGTAAAAAGTCCTTAACCTATATGACACATAACCTATATTTATACTACACAAATTGAGTGGAAATTGAGTAAAATAATATTGTTGCTGGATCTGAGCATATTAAAGGTGCTTAGATAAGATTCCACACCTCCTCAGAAATGTAATGAATTTTATTAATGTTCAAAACACACCCCTGTATTTAGAATATTCATATTCTTCGCACACAAAAAGAATTAACACTTATACTGTATCTCGCTGAATAAAAGATTACATTCTTTCAATTTTAGTACGAAATGAAGAAAAGGTGAAGTTAAAATGTAGGTTCAAAAACCTCAGATCACAAAGCTCATCACTTCATCTCACGTCATCATAATACATATTTTTTCATCATTATTTTCATGCTGAAAAGAAAGTTTTAAACAAAAATTGTTCTCTGATGATTTACAGATGATATCATGCACTTCTTAAATTATTTTTATACTGTAGTTAAAAAATATGAATGTTTAAACAGATTATTGACAATTAATTTTGAAAATAATTCAGCACTTTTATCTAATATTCACAGATTTCTTTTAAATTTCAAACATGAGTTTGCAAATAATGAATATGCAATTTTAAAAGAAAAAAAAATTATGGATAATGCTACAATTTGTCATAGCCAGAACCGTACCTATAACAAAACAGAAATACACATTATGCACTCCTAGGTTTTAAGAAGAAAATTACAAAATGACACGCATCTGTGCACATTCATAAATGAAGCAAATAGCTTGTTTTTTGTGAATGTTGCCTATTTTCAGAAGACAAAAAATTCAAAATACAGTATAATATCTTACCAAAGCACTTTTAACATCAGTATTATTTTAAATAAATTTAATTTTTTTGGTTTAAACATTACACATAGACCACAATGAAAGAGCAGATGAAAACAGTGCTTATTATTTCTCCAGTTCTTCAAAGGTAAAAAGGCAAAAGTAGGCTTAAAGCCTACGTAAGATAAAGCTTTCAACGTTATCTAAAAATAACGGGCTATTATTTTACCTACTAGGAGTTAATTAAGGAAAATATTTTATCTGGAACTTCTTCCTGAGCCGTAAGAGGCATTAAAACTTGGGAAACGCAAGGAAATGCAAACAGTTGGGGTTATTGCATATGATATCTGTTGGGGAAAATGTCATACTCATGTCCAAGCACACATCAGTGGTTGCCTTGGTCTACCACAAAGACAAACAAAAGCACTGCTCACCTTTAGTGACTGCTCAGTACTATCAAACACAGTTTGAAAGTTGGGTCCGGAAGGGTTAGCCTACAAAAGCAGAAGAGAATGAAAACACATACTGTATATATGGGTATCATTCTATATATTTTTTTCTATTTCTCTGTGTTCATAATAAGACTAGAGCTAGATTGAAATATTTGCATTGGTAGAACAATTACTTTTCTATGTAAGACAGCTGGTTTACAAACCCAGATGTAACATGCTATTTGTTTCTGACAATTTTGCTAAAAGACTAAGTATAAGTTTAAATTCACCATGTGATGTACAGTATTATAATCTCTATCAACAGAGTTTAGAGTTGATATTTTAGCATGGAAGAATATGTTTTATTTGTATGGAATGACTAGTGATTAGGTGGGTTATCCAGTGACATAAAATATGAAGAATTTAGGACGGGAGCTTTTTTTTGTCTTCAGACAGCGCAGTGGATCACTGTTGTGAAGACTGAGTGATGTTTCCAGAGGCCTCTGAACAATAACTTCTGGAAGAGGTCAGCCCTTTGAAATAAGAGGAATTTTGCAAACAGAATTAACCTACAGCTTACACTGCTTGTTAAGTAATGTGGAAAGAAATCTCTGCATCTAATCAGAAAAGAAAATGTACATGTGTAATCTTTGTGCAGCATGGAAACTAAAGATAGTTACAGTGAACACTCACCTTGATGTATTCAACTTTCAAAAGGTCAGAACCAGGTTTGTCTGAAGAGCTAATTAAATGAAGGGGCTGATTTTGGACATCTAAAACAAAGAACATGATGTTTAGCAGTACAGTATGTTCAAGGCTTACATTTGACATATTTAATATTTTTTACACTTTGAAACAAGCTTATTGGCCCTAATCTACAGAGAACAACAAATAATGGGATATGCAGATACTGTACTGTACCTCCACTGCATTAAAATGTCCATGTACAGTATATTGAAAAAACCCACCTAACCAGATATCAGGATACTGCATCAACAATCGTGGTTTTTTCCTGCACTATTACTTGGCCTGTAAGTGAAACTCTTTGAACTCTTAAACCCCAACAAGCAATTAACTTCTAAAAAAATTAAATCATGAATACTTTTAGAGTATTTGCTCTTGATTGCAAGTAGCATATTTCCTTTGTTTCACATATCCAATTGTGTTTGATTTCATAAAGAAGCAATTGTGCATATTACCATATATTTGAAATTGTGTTATGCACATTTGTGTAATCTGCTTGTCAGCGACTCTTTAATGCAAAACATCCCCATAATAATTGTATTACATCTATTCTGCATTTCTGATTTACTAGAAGGATCATTCTAAATCCTACGTGCATAACAACAGCACACTCATTGATCTGTCTGGCTCAAAAATGCTAAAAAAAGCAACTTAGTGCATTTACTTTTTTCTGTCCTAAATAACAGGGCACATGTGATAATACATTCTGTGACCATTTTAGCTGAACTCTAGCCTTTATTTTGAAACAGTCCCTTTACTTTACTTGTACCTTGCATATAATAACACACAACAAGAAATCTGTAAAAAAAAGGCACACCTTTTATTTCACAGTAATCCAAGCTAATTTTTCTCAAGTAGGAGGTAACAGTCAAATCAAAAGCTCGAAGGCTTCCTTCAGCACCCAGCTGTGAGACGTTCAGGGCTAGCACCGTGCTTTCTTGCATGCCGTGCCTTGTAAGTTCAACCAAAACCTGAATGAAACAGGAAGCAAAGTGTTACTCCAATTCAAGGCACTATTCCCAGGTCTTCATCCTAATCATTTTGGACTTTTGTCCCCCACAACTTAGTCCTATGACAGCAACATTGCTATCCTGTAGCCTGATCTTGTCAGGTCTCAGAAGCTAAGTAAGGCTGGACTTGGTATATACTCGGATGGGAGACCTCCAAGGAAAACTATTTTGCTGTTGGATGTGGTGTCATAGAGCTCTTCCCTCTGAACCAGAATTTCCCAAGTTCTTCGGAAGAAACAATTAACTGAAGGCTTACCTACTTGATCGTGAAAGAACCCTGCACTATTCAAAAGAGTAGGGCTATTAACAACTGGATAAATTCCACTCTGGGCTTGTACAATCTGTCCTCCCTACATTCAGCACTTCAACTGGTGAAATATTTTCTGACTCATAACCTGATGTGCACAGAAAACTAGATAAAGTGGTTCCCGTTATACTGTATATGTGTAAAGAACTTTGGGATTCTTTCAGGTGAACACTGTATAAATTATTTAATACAATTAATTCTGATTTTTTCTAATAATAATGATTAAAAACATGTTTATCGTAATACATTCAATAGAATAACTTCATTTTTAGATGCTCAAATACTGTATGATTTCTTTCAGATAAGTACTGGAAGTTATTAACTATTACATTGATTCCCTTTTGCTTATGGTCTTCAGTACACTCAAACAAGTCACTACCCTTGAGCCTCAGACACCAAGCTGTACCTCTTTGACTTCAAACTTGAACTGTAGGTCAGTGAGCTCCTCTACAGGGGTTCTCTGACTGTCCTCTCCTGCGGATCGCTCACTGGTATCCTCATCAGAATCTGAGGGGAGACATCACAACCATCCCACTTGAAGCATTCAACCAGAACCTCAGAGCCAGGATGAACTCTGTTTAAACAATAAACCTGTCTCTTCAAGTTCATTTCACTGTTAAAAACTAGAATGCAGTTTTGACAGTCAGTGTATGTTTTATTACTTGCTTACCTGCAAGCCCTTACATTCAGTGACAGATTCTTAATTCTGTCTGCTACCCCCTCCTTTTCAAAATTAAGACAGGGTTTTCTGAGTCCTCTATGTGCTGAAGAAGGGTGCAGGTTATCTTGCCAGATGCCGATTAATCTGAACACCACAGGACTAAATTATCATTTAATCTTCACCCCACTGCCCTCATGCAAGAGATATAAGAGCACACAGACACTTACCACCAGATTCCTCAATAGCTTCTATCCACAAGCAGTGAGACTGGCGAACACATTTAGCCATCCCCCTCAGACCACACCTACACCATCACCATCTACCTCATTGTAATTTATTAATTGTACGTCTCCAGTCATTGTTTACACGTCTGTATTGTTTACATTCAAACTGTCTGCATGTTTACTTGCACACTGTCTATTGTTTGTTTGTACATTGTCTTGATGCACTGTTTGCACTTTGTTTTGTTTTTTACACTTGTTTTATAATCGAGAGACTTTCTGTAAGTAAGAATTCCATTGTACCAGTACCGGTTACATATGGCAATAAAGTTCAAGTTCAAGTTCATTTACTTACAGGTAAGTGTAATGAAGCTGTGAACCCTGGAGTATTCATTACGCTTAATAACCTAGTGATGTTTTTCCCCCAAACATGATCTGAGTTGTTAGGAGGTAGATATTTATGCACTTCCTTCTTATTCATATATCCCAGCCTTTTTTTTAAATTATCACCCGAAATTGATTTTGCTGCATGCGGATTTCCTGACCACAGCAATCTCTAGCACTTTCCCCAGCCCTTTCATATCCCCACCATTATGGGATTCTCTTGTACAACTGAATTGTTCAACCTGTTTCTCTGCAACAGCCCATTTCGTCTAGCCAAAACTTCACACAGTAGAAGCCCTCTTGTCAAAGAAGAAAAGAGTAAACTACAGCAGTCAATGACTCATAAAGCCAGTAGTGCAAGAAGTACTACTAATGAAAATCGAAATGTATGTTTTCAAATAAAAGACTCTGTGGTCACAATCATAACTGGTCATGGATGTACTTTAAAAACAGGTGAGCAACTGAAAGTTTTACAATCCCCCGTATGCAAAACAAACCTAATAGAACCAACACAGCATTATAAAGATGGGTTTGATCATGATTAAAGGCCACCCACCTGTTGCCCCAACATCTAGAAGAGCTGTGGCATCTAACCCTTTCTCGAAGCGGACGCCAGGAATGGCTTCCATCAGCGGGATAGCCGGCACCTAAACCAAGCACAGAAACTTCAGTGCACTTTCACCTGCAGCTTTCAGATTCTTCTTGCATCTGATAGGGCTGTACGGCTTGCAGCAGGGAAAATGAATAAAGCCAGGCTTTAAAAAAAAAAAAACATTTCAAGAAATAGAATCACAGGCCATAAATATGAAAACTCTCAATGCACATGAAAGCCCCAAGACAGAACTAACAGCTGTGACATAATATTTATAAGATACACCATGATTATTAAAAGCTGTTTTTCAAAGTAAAAGGGGCTCATTCTTCAAATGCATTAAGCCTTATAATAAATGCCCAGTTATGAGTGCTTTGAAGGCATGTCCTGCATCAATGCCAACCCAAAAAATATGGTGAACAAAAATTATATATAGTACTTATTTTTTTCAAAACATGTAAAGTGCACTTGCATTTTGTCTATTGTTTCCATTTGACAACCTTCTCCTTGTGAAAACAAAACATCATTATTCATATGTGTGTGATAAACTAAACATTAAAATCAGAAGGGTTACAATGCTTTAAAAGCTCTGTGATAAACTGCTACTGTTTCTCATGTTCCAGTTGAGAACAAAAAGGCAACAGCAGCATTCATTTGCTCTTTAATTGTCTGTTTTTTTATTACGGCGTCTCTCACTTGCTGAAACACTTACATTTTTAGCTGGGATGGTTGGCACAGAGGCTGTCTGTGGTAGGGGAATGCTGTTTACAAGGTTAATCACATCTTGGATTTTCTGGTCTGATGTCCTTACATGCATCAGGGGAAGTTCTCCAGAAACCTTAAACCTGAAACACAAGGCTACAAAGTCATTCTGGAGAAAATAATACTTGACCACTTCCAAAATTACACAATTGATGTTCAATAAAATATACATGGCACGATCATAAATTCGTAATATATATTCTAAAATAAACAGCACTTTAAAAACACTAATAAAATTTACTCCTTAAAATGAAATGTAATCACCAATTGTTACATCGCATTATGTTGTTATTTTTCTTTGGGAATTCTGTTTTCTAAAACTGTTACTAAAAAAAAAAAGTGTCATAGTGGTCAATTTCAAAGACACAGACCCCTTCTTTGGTACCTCACTAAGGTGTGGGTAACACTGCATGACTGGGTAACTTGTGGGACTCTGCTGTAACATGGACATGTACTGAATATGTTTGTATTTTGTCCTGTGTGCTTCCTCCTAAATTCCAGACAGCTGGTTTTTAGAGAAGAAGAGAAGAATCTCATACGTACTTGGCCATTCGGGCATCTTTGTCCACCATGGCTTTTGCCAGCTGGACCTTGATGTCCATAGGCTGGAGAATGTGCTGCTTCGATGAGCTCTGTGACAGAGCAGCTTTCCAGTCCTCGCCTGTAGGCAACAGTCAGATACGGCTCATTAAGGCCCAGGTATTCAGCCCTGGTTCTGGCCCGTGGCTTCTCCTTTCCATCGCACCCTGGGCTCTTGATGGCTTCACCTGGTCTATATTACCACCGCTCCCAGGTCTTTATACACTGAAGATCACAACTCTCTTACAAAGCCTGGGGGACTGTGGCCCTCCAGGACCATGTGTGCATCACTAGATTAATGCATCTGCAGCCATATCACCCTGCAACTCACCACTGGCAGCCCTACTGAAGCTCAGCAGGTGTGAGCCTGGGCAGTACCTGGATGGGAGACCTCCTGGGAAAAACTAAGGTTGCTGCTGGAAGAGGTGTTAGTGGGGCCAGCAGGGGGCGCTCACCCTGCGGTCCATGTGGGTCCTAATGCCCCAGTATAGTGACGGGGACACTATACTGTAAACAGGCGCCGTCCTTCGGATGAGATGTAAAACCGAGGTCCTGACTCTCTGTGGTCATTAAAAATCTCAGGGCGTTTCTCGAAAAGAGTAGGGCTGTAACCCCAGCGTCCTGGCCAAATTTCCAATTGGCCCTTACCAATCATGGCCTCCTAACAATCCCCCTCTATCAATTGGCTTCCTCACTCTGATCTCCTCCCCACTGAGAGCTGGTGTGTGGTGAGCGTTCTGGTGCACTATGGCTGCTGTCACAACATCCAGGTGGGGTTGCACATTGGTGGTGGTGGACGGGAGTCCCCATTACCTGTAAAGCGCTTTGAGTGGAGTGTCCAGAAAAGCGCTATATAAGTGTAAGCAATTATTATTATTATCGGTCAATAATGTAACATACTAATTATAGTTCAGTTGATCTTGGCTTGCCAACCCAATGAACACTGAGCTGCCATTTAGGTAACCCTTCCCAATATGTGCACATTTACTATAACTTTCAGCACACAGTCCTGTGTGGTTTCTTAATGTGTTCATGTTGAATGGGTATAAAGGAAGTAGCACATGTTCTTCATTTATTCATCTAATTTCTCTCATTAATTATAACCAGGAATTAATCATGAACTGCCAATTACAAAGTGTTGCTCACATGGTTCTCTCTCAGGCACTCACATCTGACACCTTTTCAATATGTGCACATGTAAATCAATATTCTAGTGAGAACTTGGAAAATAAAGCAGATATCCATATGAATAAAACAAGCTACTGTAGGTACAGTATAAACTCATCACTTGTTATTGAATAGAGCAATGAAGAATGCAATGGTATATTCCATAAAGGCCTTCAAATTGCATTATAAGAGGTTAAACAAAATGTTATTTCAGAAGTGAATTAAAATACAACAGAAGAACCAAGAGAAAGAGCTGAGCGGGCAAAACACAAAGCATTTTCATCACAGACACCCTAAACCCACACAATAGTTAAAGGGCAATGAGTGGTACTTTTAAAGCTCATTTAAAACTCCTTTAGGCTATGTTCATATTATTTTATTATTAAAAAACTGACACCGTTAAATGTCAAAGTTGAAAAATTTTAATGAACAGAACATTTTTGAGTTTTCAAGGAAATGTAGCTTTTACTCTATAGTACATGCTGAAGGAAATCAGGAGACCTTGAACATACCTGACTTGCAAAAAACAACCTGGACGCTTCTGAGCTCCAAGCTGTATCTTTCATAGGCCCTGTCCATGATTTCTTCCAGGGAGGAGAAACTTCCAGATGTCTGTTTGTAGGTTCCTTGATCTACACTGTTCAGCTGTAAATGACATTAACAGATTCACATCCCCAGTACCAGCAAGTACTGAATAATGCAAGGACAGGTGTACACAGTGGTAGGAATGGGTACATGCAGTAACTCACCAGCTTGGCATCATGATTAAAGTGCAGCAGAGAATGTTAAATGCCTACCTGCAAGCTGCCAAAATCCAGGATAATTAGATCCGATTTCTCACTGTAGAAGCCTGAACTCGGCACCAACAGCTTTGAGGGTTTTAAATCGATTCGGAGATCAAGCACCTTACGGGTTTCAATGATATGCGAGAGACCTGCGAGAGAACAATGCACAAAATTAATCCATACAATCGTGACATTAAAGAAATACAACTATGGAGAGCAAGTTGGGGTTAATGATCTTGTCTTATCTTAAATACAGCTCATGCTAAGATTTAAAACGTAAAGCAAAGAGCTGCATTTCTCACGTATCTGTTGTTAACTCTGTTCACAAAACCTGACTTCCCCTTAACATGCATTCCGTTGAAGATAAATGTAGCAAATGTTTTTTTTTATTAGCACACAGAAACAGAAAAACAACATTTCAACCCTAATTTGTGGTGAAGTCTGGAACAGTCAAGAACCTGTGCAGGTTCATGGTCTGGCTCTTAACACAAAACAAGTAACTTCAAATACTTTGCAATACAAACAATACCAATACACACAAAACAATGATCAATTCCAATATCCCACCTGTTGCAGTCTTCTCTTTGATCTCTTCTAATTTCATCAATGTTGCAGAAGTCAGAACCTCCAGATCTACTCCTTTGTCAGTTTTGAAAAACTCTGCCAGGCTGTTCACTGTCATCTGAGAGAAAGCATATATTTATATGAACATTAATGTTGAAATACTGTAATTCTGTAAATACTGTATTATACTGTAATACTGTAAAATTAATATGCAGTCAAATATTAAAACTTGTATGAGTTCTAGAATATGATAAGAAGAAAAATAACGCTGCTACATTTCTCAGCATTTTTGTACAAACATTGTTCTGTAAAACACTTATCAGGTAAAATGATTCAGATGAGATCAGACTTTTGATTGACTGATATATACCTGTGCTCACATTGGACTATACTCACATGCAGTCAGAAACCTGCACTTCACAGCCTTTTTTGTATGGCAAAATGCAGTTTACAAACCTGAATGCCAGAGAAGACACTGAGCATCCTATTCAATCATATATTTGTGCGGCATTAACAGTTGATTTAAAAGATGTGCCAAATTTAACTTACTGTATGAAGTAACATGAATAAACCATTCTAAGGCTTCATAATGTATTTAATGGAAAAAAAATATATGCATTTGGTACAAGCATTAGTGACAGGTTTTGTTGTTCTTCATCTTCAATACCAATGCATTTCAGTCGGTTTGTGTGTTATCTTCCTCTTTAGGCAAACTGCCCAGCTAACACAGCAGGTAAGTGTGCAGAGACAGCACCTTCACACACCTAAGAGCTGTAAAGTACAAAGAATGTAGAACACAGTGGTTCATATATTTACAGCATCGTAGATGATCTCCACAGGTTGGGACTGGACCGTCAGCATCTGGTCAGCTGTGCTGCCCTCTGGGTTCAACTCAAACAGGATGCTAAGCAGCGAGGACTTGGAGTCGCCTACAGAGGCCACGAGGGAGGGGACGACGTCGTGCTGCTTGAGCCCTGTTACGTACCAGTGTTCCAGTTTAGCCTCCATTCTGAAAAGCAGCCCAGCACAAGCCAAAGTTAATTACACACTGGTCACTGTAGGGTTCGTCTTATCTGAGCTTCTTGCAAGACAAACAAAGGATCAAACTAGGTCAAGGGGCTTGTGAGAAGCTACAGTACGTGTAACAAGAATTTATTCTTCCTTGAAATGATACAACTCCAACCTAAATGAATTCTCATTCTTGTTTAATTATTTTTAATGAGGACAGATTCCTACTTCACAATTTGATGTTTTTATAACTCCAGGGAAACTTAATCTTGTATAGTATGCAATGTATGGTTTTAAAACAAACACCATTACTGATGCAATACAAATCCCTCTTTTTACTGCATGTCTGTTCTTTTCGCCTGCCAAGCAGCGGAAAATCTTTTGTTGCCTTCAAGTTTGAAAGTACCAAAACATTGGTTAAGAATACAGTGAAAGCAGGTCAATTTACAGTCATGCTAAAGTTATGTGATTTTTTAAATTTAGCAATAATTTCAAGGCCAGTTTGTTTTGTACAAGTATTGATAAAATGGATCTAGAAACAGTTTGGAATCAAGACATGAACAACTCTAAAAATCTAACTTCATATTTCTGTTTTCAAGGTACAGTATGCATGCTTTCTCTCTTAATTTTAAATAATTAACAATTCTTTAAAACAAACAAAACAAGAATTAACATGAAATGATCAGCTGTACTAGAAAAAAAATAATATAAAGAGTTTTATTGTGATCCTATATTTATATAATTTTAGATCCTAGTTTACAATTTACAAGGTCTTCAGGTGGAGACCATGTGCATAATAAGCATAATAATACAGATACAGCAGGACCGGCAGTTTCAGCACTCTGCATGGGCATAGACGACTGCAGAAAGATATCCGAATGCAAATAGAAGCACTTGTGTTGTATCCAAAGCAGCTATTTAATACATCACAAATTGGATGACTAATCAGACAGTATTACTTAGTATTAGTATTAGTCAGGTTTGCACTGAAATGAGATGTACAGAACGTAAGGACCTTACAATTTGGCAAAAAAGACAGAAATGCACTTCTACCTATTGTACAGAACAGTGGAACACTGGCTCAAGTGAGTAATTAGTGGCAGACAAACACTGAACAGTAAGGTTGCTTTTATGTGAAGCATTTCCAGGTGTGCAAGATGGCTGTTTACACAGGTGTGAAGCAACATCAGGTGGTAAGCAACAGAGGAACAGGTGAAGCTCAATTAAAGTGTTTAGTAAACAAAAAGAAATGAAATTCATTTGGGCGATGCCGACTATAAAGATACAGCTTACTTGACAGCCTGAGCCCCAGGCCTCTGGGAAATGCTGGTGCTCAAATCAATCATCTGCACCTTCAGTATCTCTGGCACACCTGGCTTTTCTCGGACAGTGACCGACGTGCTGAAGAGCTTGAACATTATCACTACAGCCACATACTGCAACAAAAGAGGAACACCGCAGCAGGATCGCATCAGCAGGCCTGCCCTATGTGATTAACACTGTGTACGCACACATCTATAAAGCCTTCAAGATTACAAAGACCTATAAATTGATACAACCAAGAATCAAAAGAAACGGCTGTGTTCTCTTTTCCCTACATAAAGAAAAGACTAACTGCTTACCTGCTTGGGTAAGGAAAGATTATGGGAGCTGCCACTGTATCCGATAGCAGTGTAGAGTTTGGCCTTTTCTTCCGCAGTCATTAACTCATCAATACCTAGAGAAGCACAAAAAAATCCAAGTAAATGACACCTTTTAGCATATTTTATCTCTGCATCCATGCAACATTGATTTCCTAAAACAGTGCAAGTGACAGTGAAGGTGCTGAATGTAGAAAAAAGCACAGAAGCACTAATCTGGGTGCAGAATTAGAAGTACTACAGCTTAGCAAAAGAGCTGGACGTGCCATTGATGTTGGACGCTGCATGGGACTTCCTCCAACAAGTATACACATGATCATTAAAAATACTGAAGACATTTTAAATTCAGTACTACATATCTTACCGTAGCCCATGGTGAAGATCGTATAAATTTGTTTCAAATGATGTTATGTTAAAATGATTGGTAAGTCAAGATAAAATTGAGTGATAAGAGTAAAAAGGGTTTATAAAGGTTACATATAAATGGTTTATAATACACAGTAGTGTTCTGTACTCTACTTGGTTAGACACACTTAATCTAATTCAATGTCCCTAACCTTATTCTATTCCACTGTTTCTTATGGGAAAATCCTCATGGGAAAATAATATTCACAAAATAATAAATGATTCTAATGGGAAAAGCTTCATTGAATTAAGCTGCATGGGCAAAGCCGACACGCTTATGGTCTCTAATTCCCATATTTCCATTGTTCTTAAGGTGAAAAATTCCTTCAAAAAATGCAGTGCTGCTCTAAGTCACAACTTTCAGGTCTTAAACCCTGATGTGTATCTGGGACCCCCCTGTACCTCATTTTCTCAAGTCAAGAGAAGGGTATCTCATTCCCTATTCAAAAGAGAAGTGCAGAATGTCTTACTTTCCAGTTCTGTGGAATCCTCCTGTACTTTTTTCTTTGATTCTTTCCTTCCAAAAAACCCACTGAAGAACCCTCCTCCACTCTGCTTCTCTCCACTCTGCTTCTTTCCCACCAGCTTCTGGCCAGACCTGACCAGCTGAGGAGAAACAGGTCACCAGAGACAGACCCACAGGGCGTGACAGGGTGCCAGAAATCAAAGACATACTGAAAGACTAAATCAGACACTGGACATGCCCCTGTAAAAAAAGCTCTGACACCCTGTCTGAAAGTCTTTTGTGTCTCGGATGAATGGCAAGTCATTTCTGCTGGTATGTGCAAACCGGAGAGTTAAATCTAGAGAGATCTTTAAAGGATTGAGACTTCCTAATTTTGCTAGATAACATTCAGCTCTATAAAAAGAAATAGATACATACCTCCATTTGTGCCTGCTGACGGGCCAAGGTTATATTGAAAACATCAAGGATTCTCTCCAGGTCCTAGGATCACAAAAAAAGAAATATACATCTTAAAAATAGACTAAGTGTTAAAAAGAGCTAAATTGAAATATGCAGATTACAAAATAAGACAAATAAGACATATTTCACATTCACATACTCTTCCATCCCTATTTGAAAACTTTAGTACAAATCCCTCTTTTTGTGCAGTTTGCATAGCAAAGACAGTACTGACTGTTCTTAAATTACAATAGTGTTCTTAAAGGTGAACTGCTTTATTACAGCTGACAAATCATTAATTTTGGGAAGGAAATGCACAAGTGTAATAAATTCATAATTGGGCTATTTAATAAATTCAAGCACAGATTAACTGAGAACTCACCTGAATTTGCTTTTCTATGTCATCTTTGAGCTTGCTCTGGGTTAGCTTCATTTTGTAGACTGCTTTGTAAACCTTCAGAGTCTGCCTGTGCCTTTTGATGTGACGCCACGACCACATCTGGTTGCATCTCCTAATTTGAACCTCCAGCACACTGGTGATGCAGTAACCCCACCTGGAAATAAACATTGAGAAATGAACACTGAGCCACTGCTTGAACTGTGCAGCTCAACACTTCAAATATTTTAAATGTCAATCACTCAAGGTCTCCAAAACCCTGAAAAGTCAAAATAGAGTGGTGTGTAGTGCAAAAGGCACAAGAGGCACTCAAAAACAATTACTTTTATCTTTAACAGAAGTTCTCCAACAGTCACTAACAGGTGTAACAGGGTGGTAAATAGTCCCATATTAGCTGAAACGTTCCATATACCAAAAGTCATTCATCTCACCCTGGGTCTCATTATTCCGATTTTGTCCTGAAAAGCCTTAACAGCCATTAACGAATGATATGCATGAAAACGGTTCTTTGCACAACAACCACTAGATGGCACTCATGTGTGAAACCTATCATTACTGGCTAACAACACTTCCCCTTCTAGAAAACCAAATAATGCCATGCCTGGTTTGGCAAACCATAACCATACAATTTTTTTTACATAAAACTAGCTACTTTAAGAATTGATGGAATTAATGAGTTTTTTGTGTTGTTTTTCTTACTTTTTGTATGCAATTCATTCAAATTCAGATTTGATCTATTTTTATTACATGTAAAATAAATGTAATTTTGTAGTAACGTCTACAAAAACAATTAAGAATTAGAAAGGTTATTTGAAAACAATGGCATTAATGGATGAAACTGTACATGACATGTAAATTAAAATTCCTAAATTGATGGTGACAGGCATTCAATTCAATGCAAGTATTTGGTTCAGATAAGGATGAAATGTGTTCTTAAATGCAATACATCAAACACTACTTGCAAAGGGGTCATATTCAACTCTCAATATAATCATTGTTGAAGCTCCCAAATGAGTCAATATAATTAGACAGTTTTCCAAACATATTCATTCTGAAGGACAATTTTAATTAATTTCTAAATGGAAACATGGAACTGTCACTTCCTGAAAGAGCCAAACCATGACCTTCATATGAAAAAGACCTTCCGTGGTCAAGCACACGAAGAAATAAATCAAAAACCTTTATTTACAGTCCTTCTAGTAATTTATTAAAATTTTCTTCTACATGGGTGTGTAATTAGCAGGTTGTCAAGTACTTTTGTGCATTTGGATCTATCCAGAAAGCCTAGATGAATTTGGCCTATGAAAGGACAGCTGTAAGTTTACACTTACTGTATAAACTGTTTAAAGTTGCTGCCCAGAATGCAAATTATTGGAACCCATCAAAACCAGATTCAATTAACACATTCAATGACACATAAGACGTGGTATTTAATATTATTTCAATAGACTATTACATCAATTGTTTAACCAATGGAAGAGATTACCACATCTAACAGATGTCAGATGGATCTCAATGAATTCCATTCAGTAATATGGTCTTGAATACAATAATAAATGAACAAAGAAACTCCTTTGGTTTTTGCAACATGAACCTAGGTTTTATTAAACACTTATACTAGCTCACCATTTTTTGACGTTCCTGTGAACAGGTGCATCTGGCCTGTATTTCCTGTATGGGGCATTCTTTACCATACAGTCGATAGATTCAAGTAAGTCCACCATAGAAAGATACTGCAAAAAACATGGAACGTTAAAAACAGCCCTTTATACAATGGTATTCATAAGAGAGAATATGCAACAACAGGAGCTTGCGCATTTGTAAACGTGAGTATTTCGAAAGAAAAATATATCAAGCAAAATGCTCAAATATTTGACTGCTCACACATGGCAGTAAACATTCCCATTTCAGAAGACAGATGACTAAAAGCCGTGCCTGGCTTTCTCCAGCAAATATCAAATAAATTAAGTCACTGACATCACATGCTAAGCGCTGGATCGACAGCGAATAAATATTTCACAGGAAAAATTAAACTGTGCGTAACATCAAATCCCACGCAGTACATCTGCCAATTAAACAGAAGACAATGTCTCTCTGCAGCCAGGCGGGGGAAGTCTCACAAATCTATGGTTGAGCATAATGAAGGCAAATTGGTCCAAATATTTAAAAATGCAGTTGTAAGCAGCTGAAGTATGCTCAAAATATTACAGGCATGCAGGGAAATGAATGGGTAAACATTTAAAGCAAAACCCCTGATAACTGATAACAAATATCAGTTGATATGTATATATCAATTTGTTTAATACAAAGATACATTTTTTGGCAAATGTAAAAGGAATAAGCCTGTGCTGTGGGATGAAGAGACTAACAAGGTCTTCAAAGTCCTGATACCTCACATCTGATAATAACAATAACAATAACAATAACAATAACAATAACAATAACAATAACAACAAATTATTCGTATTCTTATTATTATTATTCGAGAGCACAGTAATGAAGGCAAGTCATACTGAAGCACAACTCTATATGGCCTGAAGCTTTGTTGACACTAAAAAAGCCACTAGCCTGATGATAACACATACAATAGGTTCTGGGCCTTCTTACCTGTGGCCTGGTCATTTCAATGGCAATATTCTGCACAGCCAAATCCAGACAGACCTTTGGGGACTTGAGTTCAATTTCAGCATGGGGGTCAATGCAAAGCCTTGCCGAAGCAAAAATGGGTCTGAAAACTGTATTAGAACAGAGAAAGTTTGCATTATTCTTCAAAGCCAACATTCTTTGGTTCTGACTGCTACCCCGACTCTGCAGTCATTGCAAGAGGTCTTCTGCAGTCAAACTATTTCTTGTTATGCACATAACAGTAAAATAATAATCTGAAGTCTTTCAGTTCTCTAAAACTTCTTTTAGCTGAGATTCAGGAGGCTAGGTAGGATATACAGTCTGTGGAAGTGAGCAAGGACACTGGAGGGATTTTTCCAAGAGCACTCTGCCGAGAAGGACTAAACCTGAATTAATAGCTTTCTTCCTTATTCTCTGTGTACCGACACACTGCCTCTTTAAACAAATTCAAGACCAGAAATCCAGAGACGCTGCAGAGTCGAACACACAAATGAAAGTCTCAGACATAATCAGAATCTATTTCAACATGTGCAATGCCAATCTTCAAATAAACCGTAAGGGTGCTCGCAGTTTCAACAATATTTTTCCTTTCCTTCTTACACAAACAGAATGGGGAGGTAAACAAATTCATCATCAGGGGAATTCACACATTTCATCTAGTATTACTGGTAGTACCTGTACAAATACTTAATGTTTGCTGTGCATATTAATATTTACAATAGGACTGAAGGCAAAAGGTTTCCACTGTCCCTCCTCTCCTACTTCTCAGAAATGTTCAGTATTGCAGAAATCATTTTTGCATATCAAATAGCATCAGCTTCTAATGTTTTTTTTTTGCATTGAACAAATGTTAAATTTGAGGACGATTATTTGTTGAATCTGAGTCAAAGGTAGTCATGTTACACAGGCTTGGTGTTCTCCTGCAACAGAATTAAGCTGCACAAGGCCCTTTTTGTAATTAAATGACAGAGTGTTGACCAGCAGAATTCATTGGCCACTTCACCTTCTAGACTGAGCTTTAAATGCTCGTGGGCACATCAGATAGATACTGGGTTGTTTTCTGAATGCCAAAAAAACAAATAATTGTGTGGGAGTCTGTCCCAAGATAAAAGCAGTGCACAGATAAAGAGGAGGATTTCCATGGTTTCCCTTTCAGCCTGTTTTTGCTGGCATGGAGAGCAAAGGGAATCTCATAAAATTAACAAGAGAAAAACTCTTTATCCCCATGCTAATTTATGTCTGCTTGTTCACTTCTGCTTACGTACTGTATTGATGGTCTTTGAGCTCGTCTTTTTTTGTATTGATTCCATCTTTAAGCTTCCACTGTAGAGACATAAATAGAAGGAGGTTAAGAGAAAATAATAAACAATTAACAACAAAGAAAGCAGGCAGCCTGAATGATTCAAAAGCATTTTCAGGAACCTGCAAAGTCCTGTTTAACAAAAGGTGTACATCAACCTTCAAAAAGGCTTTTTTTATGGGTTGTACTATATTTACTATAAGGTATCGTGTATCTATATAATAAAATGTTTGAAATACTTTACACTGACAAGCTTGACTAAATATCTCAAAGAAATTAAGGGAAACTGATGTTTTAAATGAAATTGAGAATAAAGTGCCAAATGAGAATTTAAAACCACCCACTTCTAAGATGCAAAACATTTCCAGATATTCAAATTCAGTGTCTGCACCACCCACATTTATTTAAGAAAATACATATAATATATATTTATACAAGACAAAGTATTGTGCCCAATAGCAGGGTGAGTGCTGGGGCTTCTGGTGCCTTCATGAAGTCCCTCTGCTTATTTTCAATTGGCTTAAAGTATGTTTTAATTCTCAGTGCTCATTTGCTTTTCTGACAGATCCACAGGACTCAACAAACTTTAATTTTCAAACGTGGATACACCTACTCTACAGGAAACCTTACAGTTTTTGACATTTCCGTGTACAAAAAGGTGTCATATTTGTACAGACGTGCATGACTGTGTCAATATGGAAAGTCTTCCAAGCTCAGCTTTTTTTAAGTGAGATAGGTCTTCATTCCCGAGACAGGAGGACCACAGATTTAAATATCCCACACAAATAAGTGAGAAAAGCAACAGGCGAGGCTTTGTTGAGCCTGGACAGGCTGGTCTGCTCGTGCTCTGCAGAGCTCAGGACACATCGCAGACTGACGGCAGCAACCAAGGACTACTGATGTTCAGTACCTATCACTATACAGAAAAAAATGTAAAGAAACCATTTTGGAGCCTTTTAGAAATAGCTGCTCCGGCGCTCGCTCACCTGTCATAATAATCTGGATTAAGCGCAGGAGTTCTCAACCTCAAGCAATTATTATTTTTATTCACAGTCTGTTTAATCAGTACAAAATGTTCAGACCTTTCAGAAGTGCAACTTAACAGCCTTACTAAATTATACAATATATGCTTACACAATTTTAAATTGAAGCAGCGCCGAAGCACATACTGTACAGCATCAACACAAAAACTGCCTTCTGTAGAAAATGAACTCAAGGAATGTACAGTAATTCAATGGTATTTGCATATTATTTCCATATCCAGATTGGGTACACATTACAAAATATAGAAACAGTTTTTTTACTACAGAAGTCTCTTGGACTTCTAAACCATGTGCTCTGTAAGCTTCCAGGTTAAATAACGTCTTAATGAACAAAAGAGTTTAAAACATTTTTTAAATGCAGAATAGATGGATAATCCTTATCGTTTCCCAGAGAGAGAGGAATACCTTGAAAGCAGCAAAAAAAATTAGGATTAAATTGATCACCCTCTTACTGGCCTTCCTGGGCCCGACAAAATAGAAAGTTAAACTCCAAAACTGCCACTGTGCATTAAAAACCACAATCAACAAAAAGTTAACATTTAGAACTTATTTTATGCCATTTTGCTTTACATACATTTTAACATTTTGCTTAATGTGAAACTGATGTAATTTTGCGAATTTTCCTATGTAGCATACTACACAAATTCAAGCAACCCTTGCTTTTTTTAAATTGCTGAATTATTCATCACCAAGATATAACGACAATAGGTACCACTACTTATGTGACAAAAGTATTTTTTTAATCCTTTATGGGAAAGCTAATTAAATCTGGGAAAGGAAGCTGGAGAGGTAGTTATTGTTAATCCAGCTCTAAAAACGAGCAGCTTGTTCGACCAGTTTCCTGTTACGTGACACTCATTTTTGTCTCTTGCACACCTCAACATATGGTTTATGTTGACTATTAATTAGGAGCCATGGCTATTAAACCTGTCAGCACAGATGAATAAGGCAACCTGATTTGCTAACCGTGTCATTTCCTCTGGTCTCACTTCCTGAACAGACACTTCCTGTATAATATTAAACAAGTCAGAGTCAGGATGCTCTTTTCTCTTATTAATGTCAACTAACTAATGTTATAGTAGCAAAAGAAAAGCTAAGCTTTTAAGCTTAAACAGTGGAAGATTAAAACGTTTTATTTACATAGAGTCTGAAGCAAAGTACTTAGATTGAACCAAGGAATTTCACTGGATTTCTTCAAACATGTATTCTTACAAAAGGTTGCACATTAAAAACTGCAATTTATGAAAATGCACAATTGACTTTAATCTATATATTTTATACTTTTGACCAGAACAAATGACAAACCACTAATTCTGATTTCAGCATTACAGACTGTTCAATTCTATTTCTTGTTAATCTGCAAATTAAGCAGCATGTTGAACTCTATTTTCTGTTAGATGTACATCTGCCTTTAATGCAAATCATTGCAATGCTGCAACTTTTTTTCAAGATAAAGGAAATGGTCCCACACCATCAATCTTAATTATTCGCAGCAAACCAAGCACCATACATAGCAAATATGTGAGCAGGCTCTTTCACTACTGCAAAAATAAGATAAAATAAGATCACTTTATTGGCCATACACAATTTCTTGTATTAGGAATTTGTCTTTTGCAAAAATGGGGACATTAGCAAATCACTTTGACCACATATAAAAATGTGATTTAGGTTTTGTGTTTTTTGTGAAAGCACAGAAGGGTAGTAATAAGGATTCGATAATGTCCTTCCCTTCATGATGATCTGACCAGATTCTTAGAAGGGATTTGTAAATCAGAAATTATTTAGAAAACAACATTTTTTGAGAAACAAAATGAAATGTTATTATATTGCATTACCTGTCTGAACTGTTTTCTATTTTTCATTTCATTTTTTCTCCACAAAAGAGAAACAGTAATAACATATATCCATCTGATGCCCATTGTTGTTCTGAGGGAACTTATCTGTTATAAATGACATACGTACAGTAGGTGGCCTATGACATAGTGTGCCAACTGAAAACAGATCAGCCTGTTGATCCCATCTGCTAAATGCAATTAAACATCTCCTCAGCGTCTTCTAAGAGCCACCAACAAGCAGTTCAACCAGCTCCTGAGCTGATTCATGCCTTCCTCCTGAGGCCTCTGTCCCATCTTAAGTGCACTGAGAGAGCTCAGATCAACGTTCTCATTGGAGAGGTAAGATGCTTGCCAGAATCACTCATTCATAAAAAAGGCCAGGAATACACCAAGATAAGCATCCAAGTGTGGGAGTCCATTCTCAAATAGGCCAGAAACAAAGAACACTAATGAGCTTTACCCTTACAGTCCTTAAGTCCTCCACATAAAATTAAACATGCATATAAGCACACCACACAAATTTAGATCAACAGCCCTCATAGCACTGGTGATACAACTAAACAGTGAGCCAGTGTTGGGGACCGTGTAGGGACTGACAAAGGTGCTCAGGTAGAAGATGCTGTCTTTTGGTTTTATAGAATGTCTTTCGGTGGAGTGGGAGCAATTATTTGATTAACTGCAAATAAAAAGTAAAGAGCAAAATGTCTGTGGAGACTACGTACTCTTTAAAAAGATATTATGCAATGATGATATAAATCACCGTCAATTCATGGACAAAGCAACTCGCGGTTCACTGAAACTTCCTATCTTGTTTGCTGCTGCTATGAAATCCTAGGCAGGAGTGGAAGGTACCAGTCAGATCTGGTACGTGCTCATACAGCACACTTCCTTCTGTCTCTGTCAACTTCAATGCTACTCCACAATAAAGCACTGTATCCGAGGCCTTTGAAGACAGGCAAGCTGATCAAATTAAAGAGATATAAAGCTGATCTGTTAGGTAACCAAGACTGGGTAAACATCCTGACAGAGGATGTTTGTGTTGTGAGATTTTGATGATTTCGACAGCCTGTTCCAGAAACCTGATTTTCTTCACCAGACGTGCAACTGATTAAAGTGATTTCTCCACTTTCCAGCACCACAAAAGAGCTTATATCAGCTTCTGATCCATGACACTGAGCATCATCCCTCCACTGAGTGTCATGTTTGTTTACACTTCTTCTTGGGTAATGGGTTATTTTTAATTTAAAAAAAAAAAACAATTACCTGCTCCAGAGGTAGATTTCGCAACTGCTTTCAACTCACCACAGGGCCAAAAAAAAACAGGTACTACTGTAGCTCTAGTTAACACACTAAAATAACAGAGCACTAATTTTAAAATGGGTTTGTTTTTGACCGCTTCTTTACATTTCATGTTCAACATGATCTTTAATTTTGAAACCAACTTTCTGCGTGTCATTCGTTCATCCAGAGATAAAGAGAAAATAAATCACTCTCGAGGATTTCTTTTTTGTTAAATAGCTGAAAATTAATAATAAACATTAAAACTTTAAAAAAAAAACAAAATGCTGGTTACCCTGCATTTTAAACTTAAAACACATGGCCACGGTGCTGGTTAAAATGCTTACACTATCTATAGGCAGGTAGGTTAGGTCCCCTTTTCAGGCCATCAAGGCCCAAGGGGATTGGGGGGCAAGGGCCACCATTGTTCTCAACCATCCGACACTGGAGGTGGAGGTGATGTGGTCAGCATCACGCTCCGGCCAGCCTATTACCCCCGAAGGGTTAAACCTGGGATTGAACCCAGGACCTTCCAGTCAGGAGCCAGACCCCCTTGCCATCGGAGCTACTGTACCACGGCTCCCACACTATATGTACTGAAACAAAATATAAAGACCTAACACAAACTCTGAGTGAGATTATAGAACAGTTTCCTGTGGTTTCTTCAGATCCTCTTTGGTAAACACACAAAAAAAAAAAACTTTATATTTACCTGAAAGGAAGTTTTCTGTTAAGAAAGGTTTGTTTACTTATACAAAGTGTTTAATGTTTTAAAGGAACTATTGAACACAAAACTGCAGTCCTTTTTAACACCTACTTGGGGAACACTATGAAACAGTACATTTGCTTTTCGTCACAATATTGGCAGTTAACAAGCAACGTTCTGCTTTGATGGACCTAAAATTACTGAAAAACAAAAATAAAACTGTCTTCTGTATATTACTGAGAATTCCTTCTATTAAAACTGTCAACACTAAAAGTTCTAGCTCAAGAAAAGATGCTATTCAGACCTCATTAGTCACAAAATCTGCACAGACAAGCACAGGGCAGCTTTTTTCATTTTATGCTTGAAAACAAAGCTTAACAGTTTGAATACGTTTGTACTTTTGATGTTTCAGGCACAAATAAAGGAAACAATAAGAAATATCAAACCAACTTATCAGAGCTTTAAATAATACTTTCCTACTTCTCTTCCCAAAACCTCGTAACCTCTTTTTCACCCATGAAAGATGCATATACTGTAATCCTGATAAAAACAACTCCACCTGCCATTAGCTGAGGAGCAAATCCTAAATAATTAATAATAATGTAATCATTATTATTATTATTATTATTATTACAATGTATACTATTCATGCAGCCATGGCTATTTATTACACAGGATACCGTCAAGATATACAAAAGTTATGTAATTAATTTCCCTGTGTATTAACATAAAACAAAAATCAAAAACTAACAAAAATTAGAAACCAATTATGAAGGTTACCAATATATTGTCCCAGGATCCTCGGTAGAATATCTGGCTGTTAACATTCCAGTAGGCACACAGGCTTTCCAAACGGACGAGCTAGAAGACCAAGTTTAAAAGATCAGAAAATCATCCATTCTGTATTTGTCCATTCACAGTATTTTTGGCACCCCAGGGCATTGTCACATTGTAATTTTCACAAGATCACATAGAAGGACAATTAGCTCAAGGCACGATACATGAGCAGAACAGAGGATGATTCATGGCAGCAAAGAGGAACAGAAAGACACAGACAGGCACTACAGAAAGCTAAAGAGACATTTCCTGGACAAGAAACAGAAGATCAAAAGCTAAAAAATAAATCACTGAAATACCAAGAATACGTGGAATGTAGAAACTATTTTTTTTTGTTTTGTTTAATAAGTTCTGCAGTTCGTGGTGGCATACTGTATGGTGCATTAGAAGAAATGCAACACACTTCACTGTTAAGTATAATTTGTACTGTTGGATTTAGTATTACCTTATAGATGATCTTGACTGTTTCATTTAGTATGCACGGCTTCCAATTCTCATCCGAGGTCTACAAAAGAAAAACAATCACATCCTTCTCGTCAGTCTTCAGACGTGTCAGACTTGATCACGTTCGCATTTTCATTGCCCTTTTTACTTTATAAGGTGTCTCATCATTTGTGTTTTTTAAACTGCAATGAGACATGAGCACAAAAACCTATGTTCAATAAATGTTGCCTGGAGAGTTTTTTGTGCGTGAAAGGCTCATGCACCTTCATTATAAACAAGCCACATACAGATGACACTGTGGAACATAAACCCATTAAGCCATCACAATATTAATGGGCCATTGCGGATATATTTTTAGTCACAAAATGTTAAAATAAGCAACATAACCTACTGAAATATGTATAATACTTCTAAAAAATCCAGATATTTCTCCTACTTAAGTCTGAAAAGAGGTTTTATACCAATGATGTTAAACACTCGGTAAAGCAGAAAAGGTTTTGAGAGCACAGCATTTACTGAAGACTCCCAGTGTTTGCTGATTCAGAAAACAGTGACTGAATTGGATCTTTTTCGCTTTGATCCAAGTAGGCTCTGAGTGCTGCACGCTAATTAAAGCCTTCGACCTGCGTATTAGTGTGACAGGTCTTCAAAGAGGACATGGTGTTCTCTCAATCAATGGAAAAATTCATCACAGAAAATACAAGGAGGAAATTTCCCTGCCTCTTTGCAATGCAAATATGCAGTCCATCCAAAGCTAATCTAACATTTCTTATTTGGTTTTGAATTATATATACACACACACTTCAGGTTTCTACAGCAAGGGAGCAAAACTCATCTGTGTTTTTACATTGCTTTTTTATTTCTCCCCATAAATGATAACTGCATCAAACCTTTTCACATATGTTTTACCACCAAAATGAAAGAACATCATGGTCCTCAGGAGGAAAGAGGTATGGCAAAACATATTTAAACTGTGGTTTCCTTTCAAGACCAGCATTATTGTGGTATAGCTTTCATACCCCTATTTAATGCTGAACCTATGCAAAACAGCAGAGAAACAACACATTTGTTTTTAATTTGGTTTTATTTCTCTATAGTCACACTGCTTGTGCAAGGTGCACTAGAAAAAAAAAGTTATTGAATCGTCTTGAGCATTCACCTGGAAGGTGGCAAGGGAAATTGCACCAGCACCACACAGACGGACAGCTCGAGCTGGAACATAAACCAGGGCTCTGAAGCTGTGAGTTACTGTCTCTGTGCCCCACTCTGTGCCTCAGTGGGTGTTCCCTGTCTTCTCCATAAGGAACAATATGTTGGAATAATGCCTTCCATAAGACAAGGATAATTGCACAAGAGTGAAGGTTCTAATTCCACAATTAAAGCAGGACAGAGAAGAGCAACACTCATTGCACTCATTGTGCTGTGAGGACCTCAATTGTAACCACTAAACCACACGAACTAACACCATCCATTTATTTTAACTAATCTGCAATGATTTACTTTCGCTTCTATTTTTTATTTAACATAAACCACACTTTTCAATTCATGTAAACCAGCTAAGCAGACAGTTCATTCCTCATTGCTTAGTACAGTAGGTTCTTGATCTCCAGTCAACCTACAAAGGTTTTCCCGAGACTGAGGAAGCAACCTACACCCAGATAAGACTATCGAGATGCTGTGACGGCAAGTTATGACTCTAAGGGCTGCAGAGATTCTGAGAAGAAATAACTGTGCTGCCTTTTCAGCGCCAACATCTCCCATGAATGAGTCAGACTAGCCCATGTTTGTACGTCCAGAGCAAACAAGGCACAGTACAGTAGCTGACCTCATCCTCTCATCACTCGCCTTGCACACTAGTGATGAGGTGCCGTTTCTGTTCAGTAAACTGGAAAATGGGTTTCACATTCAGTCCCACGATCACAAGACATGACGTACAGCACATTGATATTTAACTAACATTAATGATATTGTCTCTTCAATCAAACAAAAATGTACCCAGATCCGCATAAGTAAACAAAACATTCACATTTTCTGAAGTTGAACAGAAAATAACAATGCAAAATGAAATGTGTTTCAAAGGCTGACAGTGAAGTACTGACACATTGGTAATTTTTATTTTTCTGTATTAACGGTATGCTGTTCTGCTGTAAGAAAATAGTCCTTTAACTTTAGCAGCACAGGACATCTAATGAAAACTTAGAAATAATGCAGTAAACCAACAATTTCCTTAGCTTGTATACACCCAGTGCAATCCATCACTTTACAAGGAAAAGGTGTCTTTACAAAATGAGGCAGGTCACTCTATCCCTGCCAAAACCAGTTGATCTCTCCAAAGAAAATCTACCATACCGTACCACTCTGCCATATACAGTACCATTCCACTGTATATATTATACAGTACCTGTAAGCTGAGCTCTCCAAGAGTGACACCCATAGAGATAGGCCGGTTTGGATCAGAAATCTGTGAATAAAACCAGAAAATACATAATTTGTGCCATCTTAATGGTTTTGAATAGACACACGTGGCAAACATGACTAGGACTTATGATACTCAAGATTACAAAACACAATTTTATTCTGCTTAATTTACAATGTTTGAAAAACAGATAACCAGCTAGTGCATTTCAAGAACCTTTCAGAGCTCAAAAACTGAAAAAGACACTTACATCATCTTCATATCGGATATGAATGCTGGTTATTTTGACCTGCAGGTTTTTGATGATTTGTGTTGCTAGCTTTTCAGCAAATGTGTCCTTCTTTTCATCTTTGGATTTATCTGGAATTAAAGGACACATTCATTCATGTAGCTCAGACACTGACCATTGGAGTATGAAACAATTTCACTTTAAGCTCATGCCCCCAAAATACCCTTTTTCTTTGCCATTGAGTAGTACGATGTCAATATTAACTTTGATTTAACACTTTTTAACAGTATTGATGGAAAAGATAGTACAGAGATAACAGAAGGAATAGACAGAAAGACATAAAACAGTTCAACACTTCAGAATTCCAACATCTTTGCATCTTTGCCCCAGCGGTTCTGCAAAATTGGCTAAATGGCCAACTGTTAGGGTTAGTAGTAGTCAAAGATCTCTCAGGTTTCTAAAAACCTGCAGATTCCGCAACATACCAAAGACCCACAGGCCTGTCGTGGAACAGGCAAGAGGTGCAATGCTCCTCCAGTTCGTGCTTACTCTCGACAGGTGTTGCTGAGCGTGGCGTGCCATACGGAGGCAGGCATGTTTATGTACCCATATATCAGGGGTTTCACCCAAGAGCTAAGCAGGGTTATTCAATGTCATATTAAACAACATTTTGTAAAAACACACTAATCACCATTCAAAAATCATGGGATGGGAGGATACTTTTTGAAATTTGAGATTGTCCTGAGGTTTCTAATTGTAAAAGGGAATTATGCTCCATAAAAATGACAGGGATTATCTTTTACTGTTTTAGCCAAACAATAGTGTGAAAATAATGTGACGCTTAAGTTAAGGAGTAGGCAAATACCTCTGTGGGTCATCAATATAAACATTCATATCAAAGAAACTATTAGGAGTAAACTAAAATTTCATATTTTCCCACAAAATTGCTTTTACTATCACTGCGCAGATGTTTATTCAGAACACAGACGTATGGTGGCATTGTCTCGTTGAACCAATACGGTAAGACCCAGCCCTAAACCAATAGTTTATTAATATCTTAAAAGATCAGGACAGAAATCTGATATGCAGCTGATGTCAATGCTGTATTAAAGGCTTCCTTTTAATACAAGTATCAAAAAGCAGTAGGAGTGTCAATATAGGTCTGTAGAAAGATGATATACCACAGAAACAAAGAATATTGGGTCATATTGGGCAGTTCAGTACATCAAATAAATTCAAGTCCTCTTTTTATTTACTGCTTTGTTCACCCAGTTACTACAGTCCACTTTCCTGTTAAACGAACACTAACTTTAATGAATGTTAAATTCATTAAGAAGAGACAGTCACTGCGTGGAACAAGTCTCCTAGCAGAAGTTCCAAGTGAAATGACGAGCATCACACATACCTACCTTGCTTGTGATCATGTCGCTTAGATTTCTTAAAGTGTTTTTTATACTTTTTATGCTTACGTCCTTTTATCATTTATTGCAAGCATTAAAAAAGAAAATAAATGTTAGTAAAGAAAAACATCTAAAGCACAACAGAACAGAACATAATTCAGAGTAGCACACAACAGAAACAATTATTAAAATCACATAAAATGTTCTCTAACAGCAATCTGATGAAGAACAAATTCCCAACATTCCACAACACACCAAAATTAGAGTAAAAACTATTAACTATGCAGCTAATTAGAAAAAGAGACCATGTTCTTAAGGATGGAAAATATGACAGCTGTTTTATTTAATCACTGCTCATTCTTAAATTTACGAAAACTGAATAGATCTGTTTTGCACCTTTTATTATTACTATAAAGGTAAACCACAAGAAAATGTATTCGTATTATTCTAAATCTATAAAGGTTAGACAGGTTTCTGGCTGTTTGGTTATGCTTATACACAGTCATGATCATGATAGGTCTGACTTGTTAAATAATAACTTTTAACAGATTAAAGGCTTAAATAACACCATGACCAAATAGAAATGTTTGTTCTTCTTGATCATGGTGGGGCACGCATAATAAATGTTTATTGAACTCTTTTCCCAGTAGACAGTAGTAGTCTAATATCCATCCTCATCACTGCATGATAACAGCTATCTGATGATACTGAATCTATAAAATATAAGAACCAAAAAGTTCTCAAACTATTCTTGACCTTCGGGATTTCTGCATTAAAACATATTTTTAATACGCAACTGGAATTACTTCTGAATTAAACCACAAATTAAAAAAAAAAATCCAATGCAGGTCTGTGCCAGGACGACCAAGATATATCATGATGTATAATTATAATATACGTCATAACAAAAGATTGTTATAATTGTTATAATTGTATAATTAACATGCAGTTCTACTCCTTATTAAAGCGAGTCCTCAAGACAAAAATGCAGACGAGGAAAAGAAGATTTATAATGTGTGCCAGCAATCCGCACTCTATCCTTCTTGCCTTCATTTCCACACTCCTCTGTAATTGGCTGTGTTGTGCGGCTCTGTTTGGATCATCCTACCATTTACAAAATCAACTATACAATCTGAAGTCAAAAAAACAATGGTGGCTGCAATCATGGTAGAGTGTAAAATTGACAGAAAGATTGCCAGATTTCATGACAAAAAAATCCCTTTGTCGAGGAGCAATTCATTCATCATTCCCAATCAACATTAGTCCTAGTCCTATTTAAAAGAAACTTTCTAAAAATAAAAAATATGTCACAAAAGACAAATCCAATTCCTAGGTTTTCGATCATGGTAGAAATAATACAACTGTTACTGAACACAAGAAACAAGTCGTATTCATGTAAAACAACGAGAGTTACTCAGAACAGCATGGTGAGACGCCTTGCAAAAGTCATTTTTGTACTGATTGGAAGACTGGAAAAAAATGGTCACATGTGGAAGGAATTTAAAAAAATTAAGGCTCTTCACAATCCGTGCAGGTTTTAAGATGCAAAGGAACAAGGTTTATTCCATGCTGAAAAGAGAAGAAACAAAACCTAAAGAAGGCTCCACAGCCAAAATGTTGTGTTTCTTTTCTTTTCAGCATGGAATAAACTTTACTTGTTCATTTGCAGCCTATGCATGCTGCTGATGCAGCTACAGTACCTGCAGGTATTAAGATGCATTTATTCCCCTAAATGTTTTCACTTAACTACAGGGTGTAAATTTGGATAATTGACTTTCTTAATAAATACCAGTTTTTTTAAGACAACATATACCAAAAATCAGTTCTTCACCAAAAGGTGGTGCAAAAATAAAAAAAAATAGCAGGCTTTTGCAAGTCCTTAATGCTATTATTAGTAGCATTACTAACCAAAGAACCTTTGATGACAACTGGCCAGTTTTTTTTGTACCTACCATGCTTTGGTTCCTTGTACACATAGCTCTCCAGATTGAATAAGAAGTCTCCTGACTGAGAGCCTTCATCCAACGTTGGCAAAAAGCAAATAGCAAAACATCATACTAAATTATTAAGCCATTAAGATTTTTAAAGGAACAGAGCAATGCAAAATACTCACAAAGCTGCAATCACTGTGAACACTAAGTTCTTTAGTCAAAAATAGGAAAATGGTGCATAATAACCTACAAATATGGATTTTACTACTGCCTATTCAGCCAAAAATTCTACTAAAATTTATATAAATGGAATGCTGCGTGATCAGAAATAAACACTTAAAACATTTACTGCACTCAGACAATGACTGCGATGGCGTTTGGTGTGCCAACACATACTGTATGATAACTAATGAGAATATGGCATGTGTAAAATACATTTCTCAGGGACTGAAGGACTGTTTTGTTCTTTCACAATGAGCACACGTCATGAAGGAAATTTTGCTTCTTCCTGACTGAAAACACCACAGAGGTAGAAGTAAATTAAATTAGAGGGCTAAAGGGCAGCAGTAATGATTTCCAAACAAAAACAGCAGTTCTGAATTTCTTTACAGCACATAAGTGGAATGCTTACTGTATGGAATATGGAAGTTAGTACACTAACAAAACTTGGAACAAAATAAGGACCATTTCAAGTCTACGAGGATGTCTCATAGAATAGTCTCTCTAACAAAACATGGACTTAACTTGTCAAGGATATGTGGAAGTCTGTGTCACACAATGCATTTTCAGAGCTCATGATACTACAGATGTAAAAGATCATGTTAAGAAAAAAAAAATGACCCACAGTTCCCCTTTTCCTGCCTTCAGTTGACTTTAAACCTGGATGCCTTCCACAGTGAAACTATCCTTTACTGAAGTTCATCATGCAAATAAGAACAATGCCAAAAACACTGAGAGACACTTAAAATATAACATATGAGTATCTGAATCAATATTAATTATATTGAAAACAAACTAACCTTTTGATAATATGTATGCAGTAACTTGATGTGAGTAAAGAAAAACACTTAAAACACAGCATTGAATGGAAATGAAAGTCCCACCACATTAAACGTGGAAGTACTTCAAGAATTATTTATATCATTTTTTTTTAAGTTAACCGTATCTCTGTTTTTTATTTATGCTTAGTGTGCAGCAACAAATCCTGAGGAACAGGCTGAGGATTAAACTGATGAAATGAGCATGAGCGTAAGGAGATCATTACTGGAAAATGTTTAATCTGATGAAAGTCTTTGCTGCAAACTCACACCTCTACAGTGATTCCCCTAAAACCTGTGGAGTTTTCCTATACTGTATCAGACACTCTATGCTGCAAGTATGGTTTGTTATGATGATTTAAGGTTAAGATTCCCATGATTTATAATAAATTACCTTCTGAACCTTAGCCCATTTTTTTTTTTACAAATGCAGAAAGGAAGTAGAGGGGAAGTTCAACTTTGAAAGTCTTTTATGTCATGAAAACCTGTTTCAAGACATCCTGTTTATTCTAGTTGAATAAACAGCACGTTTGGCTGACTGACATGTCTTTTACAGATCAGACCCTTTTCAGAGTTTACATTAAACACACGGAAATGTTGTTTCCAATAAGAAGTTCCAATTTCTTGTAACCCAGCGTCCAGTCATTAAGTAATTAATATTACATTTAAGTAAAAAACATTGTTTGCATCTCCTATCCCTATTCTTTAGTGCTGTCAACAAGAATAAAGTTGCTGTGAATCCAGGATACAGTTAATCTAGATGGATTTATTGTGTGTTAGATAATAAAAACATTAGTGTTTAATGAAATACATCAGTGAAAAGGAACAGCATAATCAAATCTAAAATGATTAACACAGAGTCAAGGTTTTCTGATATTACAAGTGTCAGAGTCCGACAGTACAGACATAAGTATTATTAAAATTATAATAATTTATAAGCAGCAAGGAGAAGGGAATTCTGGTAAATTGATAAGAGGGATGAAACACAAACAGCCTTTATTGTTTCATTACCTGCTTCTGCTGTCAGTCCAATTACAAATGATGGTTTATTAATACCCTTGTTTTTTAGAAGCTGAACAACTGGCCAGTTTTTTTTGTGTTGTTTTTCACACATTTGCTGACCGTAACAATAAACATGACCAGATGGCAAGAGTCTAACAACATCCTGTCCCTTTATGTTTACATGAGTACCTCTCGGTCACCTGTAGACAGCAAGGTGAAAGGGCATGCACAATTTATCTCTCAATAAAAAAAAAATCAAACAAACAATGCCTTGTTCTTGCAATCCAGCAGTGGTTATTACTATACAGGCATATACCCCTACTTTAATTGTTTCTGTCGGGTCAGATTCAAATCAAATGTTACCAATGCCCTGTGATGGAGACTGGGTGCAATAAATCTTGCTCCTGACGTCTTTGCTGTTGAAGATCTCACAGCACAGTTCATGAGACTAATGGTGTTAGTGGTGTACCAGCTAAGTTCCACTCTGAGCTTGTACGCTGTGGCCTAAGGATCTTCCTCAATTTAAATGAACTGAACACTGAAAGTTCATTGAATCATTGAATCAATTGCCCATTTGTCTGCTTTGCTTCTCCTATGTGGGTGCTAAGATAAGATCATTTTATTAGCCATATACAATCTCTTGCATTAGGAATTTATCTTTTCGCATACCCCAGCTTGCTCTCCATGAGATACAGACACACAGACAGGGAGAGAAGCTTGGGGTCAGAGCGCAGGGTCAGCCATTGTACAGCGCCCCTGGAGCAGTTGGGGTTAAGGGCCTTGCTCAGGAGCCCAACAGAGTAGGATTCCTCTGCCGGCCGTGGGATTTGAACCGGCAACCTTCCAGCCACAGGTTCAGATCCTGAGCCACAGTGCCACCGCTCCGCCCCCAACACGTGCACGTCACTACACGTCAGGTGTGGAAGAAGTGCATCTTTCATAGGTAACATTCAGTCATCCTTTGGGATGAAAAGTGCCACACATACACAAGCACTACCCATTACAAATGCAATTGCTTACAGAAAACTGGAAACAAAATGAAAGCCATTTCAGTGTAACATGCCATTACATCAATTAGTGCACAGTGCCGTTTTCAGCTAAGAGTTGTCAAAGCTGATTACATGACATCCAGATTTTCAGACTACTATGAAAGACTTACGGTAGGTGTTTGTGTTAAAAAAAATACTGCAACCACTGGAATCAGTCTGGAGAAGAGCAACCAAATACCTTCCAGGGTTTAAGGAAACGTCCTACTCTGACAAGCTGAAAGAACTGATCCTTTTAAGTCTTGAACAGAGAACACTACAAGGGGACACAATACAAACAGTAAAAATCCAAAGACATTTGAAATACAGTGAAACCTGAAACAGAGGACACAAGAAGAAAAAACATGAAATTGCATTAAAAAAACACTAAAAGGGATGTAGGATAATGGAACAAGGAACCCAGCCATGTTTATGTATCTAATAACCTGATTTCTTTCAAGAAATAGATTAGATCATTGGTTCTGTTAACTACTCACAAAAACAAATGATAGATAACAGAGTTTTCTTTTGCGCTTAATATTTTGTATGCATTTAAAATTAGGGTATAATTGAATTACAAAAAGCAAAGACAGAAACCATAAAGAAGAAGGATACATTCTTAAATGAAGAGGTAGTGTAATAGTGGTAAAGCATGCCCCAGTAAGTCACACTTAGTTTTTTGCAAGATGAAGACACATTTCTGAGTAACTCTGGGTAATGCGTGTTGCCACACAACCAGTGGTGATGAATGAACATCACAGACATGGAAAGGCGCAGGACAGAAGATGGAACAGGTTGAGCTGAGAAAGACTCGGATCTTAAGCACAAAGACATCTGCATTCACTGTCACTTCCAGAGCGTCGAGCAAATACCTTTCTGTGCTGCAGCCAGCAGGGCCTCTTCAATCCGAAGCAATTCTTTCTGTTTGGCCTCTTGTGTGTACTTTTCCTCCTTAGCTGCATCATACTTAACGGCTATGAAAAAAACAGAAACCTGTTACAGATATACTAAACCTAGCAAGTGTTCCAGAGGGCCTTCCCAGGTTGCCATTTAATGGCTGAATGGAAGTTCTTAAGGAGAAATCATAAAGAGCTACTGTAAGAGTCCTACATCTTAATAATATACTTGCATCGATGTATATAAATGGCATGGGATTCTTCATGGAACCTAAGAAACTCAGATTAACCGATTCACCTTAAACAGGAGTTTATCTGGAGCCTACAGTGATGAGGCATTTTACTAAGGGCAGCTGTGACGCCTGAAATCCTGTTTAGAAACTTGCTCCTGAAAACAGCCATTAACCCTCATCGGGTGTAGGGATGGGCAACACTTACTTGTGTACTTGTGCACGCACCAACACATTCACCCCACTGATGGGCTTGATGTGCTGCATAATGACATACTGCTTGCCAACAGGGAACGTCAAAACTACAGAATAAGTCATTCCACACTTGTTTGGATAAGCATCCATTTCTGGATCAACCAGGTTTTTTAAGCTAGGCATGGCAAATTCATTTTTGAAGAAAAACAAAACAAATTATATTTTAAAAACACATTTACTTTTTTGAGCAAGCAGGAAGCAAATGTGCTCATTGGTGCTTCCTGTTAGCCTCTGTTATTTAAAATTGAGGCAGGATTCAATTTAATAGATAAAATAAATAACTTTTTGTCTTCCTGGTAATTCTTTAAAATAGCAATTTCCAAAATCTTACATCTTTTTTTAGCATAAATGCTCCTTTTACAAAGCAAAATTTACTGTAATTGTTCATTAGCTGCCATGAAGAGGTACAATAAGCAGTTTTCAGTCTGTAGGTTTGCAGAGCACTTCCAATCGTATCAAGTGATGACAAACTTGTTCTCATCAAGAGTGTTTTCCCAGTGGGTGGATAGAGTTAACTTTAAAAACAAACCAACAAAAATAAGATTCAGAATTATTCAATTAGCAAGACGGGTGCAGCTAACAATATTAGCAAATTAAAATTCAATATGCAACTCTGTCTAGGGCCTGAAGAACAGAGCAACACCTGTGCTACCAGGCAACTGCAAAACAAAAGGCCTTTTTTGAATATTCTGCTGAGCCATACCTTAAAGCTGAATGCCTGCAATAAATATATTCAAGTTCATGAGGACCGGCTGCCTCGCAAGTTAGAAATTCTTCAATATTCACGGAGCTAAGAATGCCTATGATTTAATTTAATTTCCTTCAATTACATAACAGCAGTCTTACAACACAAAACATTCTTTTTCAAATAATTGGCAGAAAATGATTGCAGAAAAAAGGGGCTGTGATATATTATTCTTAGTGAACTTAATGAAACCCCAGAACATTGTGAATTTCAGAAGGTCAATGTGATTATTTTGAATTGCTGGTGTTTTTCAATAACTTCTGTATATTAAGTGCTGGGCTTTCAATAATAAATATTGAACAGATATTTTTCAAATGTAAAAAGTGTTCCCAGGGATTTTCTATCACATTTTGGCAAGTGAAATAAAGTCTTTGACCAAAGGAAGAACTTCATTGCCATCAATCCATGCGCAGCGCTGTTCTCTTAGCAGACGGACTGTCACATTAATGGCAGAACCTCAGAGTTTATGGTTGTTTTTGGTCATGCACAGTCCTTATAAAACCAACAAAGGACTGGCAGCTTCAGAGGAGAACACTATCCCACATTTCAAACTCTTATCAATGATAGCACACCTTGAAAATGTGTGGGCTTCCCTCTGGTATCAAAAGAGACTGCAAATGCCACGGCCTATCTCAGTGATTCCAGAGAGGCCCTTCATCAGCAGAAAAACAAAACCCTTGGGAAAACATTAGGCAGCAGCAGGTAGGCTGAGCTTTTACTAGTTAATTGCTGATTGAGATATGCAACATTTGCCATTGGCTTTGAAATATTTGTTCTCTGCTAAGCAACAATCACAACTGTCATTAAAATTAATCAATGTATTTCCAAAGACTAGAGGGCAGGGAAGCAATGTCTTTGTATTATTTTTTAAAAACCTGCCAATGTAAAAAAAAAAATCTAAATACAGAGGAAAGGAAAGCTGATCCTACATTTTTATGTGTGTTGTCAATGATGTAGTTGGATGGTCTGCACTTCCTTCTACTCGCTAGTATGGATGTGCTAAATATGCCACCATGCTGTGTGTTGGGCTAAAATGACACGGTGATGACTTGTCACCCTGTTGTAAAGTTTCATTCATCTAAGGCCCTCCTAGCTGGTCACAGCTGAGCAGCTTGAGAAGTTCAGTCTTTTTTACAGGGTAATGCTTCCAAAATCCATGTTTAGCACATGAAAGGAAATCAGAATTGCCTGGGATAAGTTACACGTTTTGACTTCATTTAACTGAATGTAGCTTGTAGGCATATGCTTATTGAACACAACGTCATATTATTTCAAATGAAAGAACTGTAGCATGGATTTCCCCCATTAAAAAATCTAACATTTATTCAAAGATAGGCCAAATGTATCTTTGTGCATAGGGCATTAATTAACTTAAGAAAATAATCATTAACACATTGTGTTGTGTTTATTACTGTAGAGGGATTATTCTGAAATATATATATTAATTTTTCAGAAAATGGCTCTAGATTTGCTTCATATTACATTATTCTGTTACAATGGATGAATAAGAATTTTAAGAAATAAGATGAAAAAATAAGTAAAAAAGGTGCTTTATTTTCTGGCATTAAGCTTTTCACTTCTGTCCTTAAATTAACCTCAACGTCCACCTGAAAAGGCTTATGGAACCCATTCATTGTTTTTAATAAGCAATTAGTGAAGAGTGTTTCTTTCAAACATTCTCACAATTCTGACAGCAAGCTTCTTCATCATCATTTATGGCTAGGTGTAAAGATGTCTCTGAGCATACATAGCTGATGGTTATTTTCAACAAGACTGCCCATCTTTTAAAGAATACTGCATTGCATTTTAAGAGCTGTGAACAGCAGGGCACTGCTATCAAAGGTATGCTTATAGCTTCAAAAGGTGGTAAACTTCTAACTTTCTGTAAATTCATGTTACTGAATAAGTCTCTGCTGAACAGGCAGATGGGCAACACGGACTCAGGCCATGTGAGAGAAGATACGTACTGAGGGGAACATGAGGCAGGCAGAGTAAATAAGATGAAAAAAAAACAAAGCCTAAAATAAAAGAATAAAAAAAGATCAACTTGTTGATTTTACAGCAACTTGGCACCATTGAGTATTTTTGTAGAATTGATTTACCTTCAAAGTAAGCAGTCCACAATGACTGAAATCCCCTCAATGCCATCAGGTGACAAAAGCCAGTTTCAATAATAAGCCACATTGAGACAAAATGTTCACAAACAGGTGCAAGAAAGAGTGGGTAGACAAATCATGGCAATTGTTAGATGTACTATGTAATGGCACAGCTTTTTTTATTTCTAGGAAACAAGAGAACCTGCTTTGTAAATACGCTACATGTGGTTCAGGCCTATAGTAGCAGCCACTATCAGCTCAGCAAGGGCTTTATCAGTCAATGCTATAAAGAGGGTTCTTATCACACATGTTTTACACGTGCCAGACCACACACTGCAACTCCAAAAACAAAGGAAAATGTCACAAAACACTTGAAAATACTGTATATTCAAGTAGAAGTACAGTACAATAATGAATGAATCGATTCATCAATTTACTTTTCCCAGTTAAATGGCACAGTACAGCTGTACTGAGCAATAGTGTTCAAAACCTCAGACCAATCAATTCATTTTCAGTATTGCAAACCAAAAGGCTGCAATACAGAGAAATGACACCCAGGAACCACTTACTTGCCCCCGGGACGACGAGCAGATAGAGGCCCTCGAGCGTCGCGACCACAGCCTCGCTGTACAGGTTCTTCCAGGGAATCTTCAGCGTCAGCTTCCCTGAAAAAAACCCAACCACTTAATATCTCTCGCTGCTGTGTCTGTCCGGGAAGTGCATCATTCCTGGAACATGATGAGCAAAAAAAAAAAAGATTATATAAAGTTCTTCTTCAACAAAAGCAAATACTTGTCTCGAGACCTCTCGTTAGAATACCAAGATCAGCCTCAGCTACTTTATCTGTATTTAGTTATGGTTAGGAACACCTGCTCTTTTTTTCATTTACAGGCTTAAAACGGACTCCGTGGCCAAGGAAAGGGCACTTCAGCAAGCAACCTTTTAGTCAAAACACTCACTAGTTCACCCATTATGTAATACCATAAAATGTCAAAGAAAAGCAGACTTGGAATCTGACAGTTTAAACCTGGTAGACAGCTTGTTTTCTAAATGTCATGGTAACGTATCATTACCAGCTTAACATTTGGTGCATATAAAGTCAAATTACACAGTATGCAATGTATCCTTTCAAAGCACCATTCAAATGCCACAGTGAACAAGAAGCATTTTCTGATCTTCTGTGTTGCACTAGGTGAGCTGTGTGGTCCTGTTTTCCTTGGCAAATCCAGCACTATTACTGAAGGGTAGTGTAGCTCTGGCTATATCCAAATACCATGAAAGACATGTTGAAACCGCTTCACTGTAAACTCCTCATGGCTTCACGATGTGGGGGACAGTTAATTCGCCTGTAAGGCCATGTCCCCAGAAGGGATTGCAGCAGACAAAATCTAAATGTGCAGACCTAAGCCAGTATGAGCTCCGGCTCAGACTGCAATTAATGGGGTTGCCCAGCAACCCCCCCACAAGACTTTCCTGAAGACTGGATGAATGGTTTTATCTATTTATAACACTTGCTTTGAGCAAATTTACTTTTCATGTTTAATTTTTTTAATGGTGCAGGAGGTCTGCTATAGCAGCTCTGAAACTCCATCATCTAGTCTTATTAGGGCTGCCTAGCCTGCCTGAAGGGTAGGCATTTTACGGCTTTTATCGGATTTCAATGACATCACGGCTCACCAGGCAGGAGCAAACTGGCTCTCAAAGTCAACAGCTGTGAACGTCATACAATTAGGCAATTAAGGAGCTTCAGGCTGTCTTTTGCTTAGAAATAAATGATGGCGAAGATCAATATGCTTTTGTGCTCTCCTAATTGAGGCTCTTCCTTCATGTCACTGAAATCTGGTACTGAGAGAGGCGCTCCAATTTCTCACAGATTTTACAGGACAGAAAGTGATATTCTGTCACCACTTTATCGTAAGAGATGTCTGGTCCAGCTAAAAGTGCTTGTACTGGAAGATGCTATGGCTGAAAACCCATGTCATATTTTTTCCAGGTACTGTACAGCTCTCAAGCATACTGTTTGCGTCTAGCAGACAGTAAGAATGCTTTATCAGTTAGCATCAAAATAAACTGTACATGCACTGTAAATGGCATCGATTAACAAGGTTGTATACAAACCTACACACAATGAACCTGAATCTAATCACATTGCCCACAAAACACAGATAAAAAACCTGTGCTGTAGACTAATAACCTAGTTAGACCTGCTCCAGCCCCCATTTCTGTGAGACATTCTGCTGCTTATGGCTACAGCAAAATAATCTTATTTTCTAGATGTTGTTTTTTGCTGTCTGGAAACAAAAAACTGATATGAACTACCCTTCCTGCTGTATCTATCTGAAGAAATATACAACATGGATAGAATACTCTCAGTGAAGACTCCCATAACCCAGGGACAAGTGAATATCACCATGCATCAGATCCCTGATGTGATCAAGTGAATATCACCATGCATCAGATCCCTGATGTGATATGATGCATAACCCTGGAGGGATGCCAGAGGAAGTAAATGGTGGCGGAGTTTACCTCATTCACAAAATGCAAAACAAATGCTTATTCTTCGGATTTTCTAAATATTAGATATATTGTAGAATATGTAGATGTAGAATACCAACAACATAAGAAAGAAATGGTTGTAACTTCATTGCACTTGACCCAATGTCTCAAGTCAAACTCCATCAACCAGTGATCAATACTCAGTCTGAGCTGTTAGGGTCTAACAATTCTCCTTCTGGAGAACTCAGAATTCATTCAGTTGCTGAACTGATGTTTTTAAACTTCAATTAAATAGGTTTACCATTTTTACAGACAGTATTTAATTACAGCTGATATTTAAGACACACTCACAAATAACAGTTTTTTTAATGTGAAATATTCTCTATTATGAGCATATCAACAAAACAGAACCTGTCCTTCCAAAAAAGACCCACCTGGCATTAAACATGAACAAAATACTCAGACCATGTGAAGAAACAACGAATAGCTTAGGTCACACAAATTAGATGTAATTTGTAACAATAGATCAGAAGAAACTGAATCTTAGGGCCAAATCATATGAACTAAAAAGAAAAAACTACTGATGATTAATCAGGGACCTCAGCAATAATACATTAATTATATGATATGTGTGAAAGTAAAGATCTAGAAAAATCCTTGTTGCACTAAAAACCATGATTAAACCTAAATGTTATGAGATCTTTCATCCTTCACACTTCATTGCAAGCCAGAAGGAAAAATGCAAATATGCAGTATAATTATTCCAAAGAAACGCTTGGAAATTTTAAAGTACAAAGCTTCTTCGATGTTCAAGATAGGCTTGACACTGGGACAGAATGACCTTCAGATTGTCTTGACAATATGCATGTGCATACAAATCCACACAAGAAACAATCAAGTTTCTGTAGTGCAAGGAAGTAATTGTATCATGGGTTTGCACTGGCACACAATGTTATTCTCAGGGTCAGATTGTGCTCCACAGTCCACAGGCAGATTAAACAAATATTATTCTTTTCACTTCTTAAAATAAATCATGTGTAAAAACCTTTAAGGGCCTGATGATTTTGTTGCTTCACGTATCACCAAGTTTTACCTCAAAAATCTTGTGTAAATTCTCAAAATGAAGCAAAAGGATTACAGTAAATAAACTGATGTTTCTAAACTTCAAGACTAGGATCTACTATTCTAACTGAAATAATATTCCTGGAAAAACATTCAAAATATAAATTTAAAAAATGTTATTAAAAAGCTCTTACTCTGCCTGACACTAACATTGTGTCAGAAAAACTTTCTCAAAGTCGGAGACTATAAACCACGTAAAGACGAAACTTCTGAGTGTGCTTATTTTACTCTTCACATGCGCTTAAAGGAAAACCACAAAAGATAAAAAGTCATGCGAAGAGTACTTCAACAATTCAACTAAGGAGATAAAAAAATTGAGCTCATTATTCAACGCCTATATGTAGCAGCTACTGTGCAAATCTGCTTCATGCCAGTCCAGGAAATGCCACTAGAAGGTTTTAGAAGTGAAAATTAAATTTGTTGAAATGAGAGCTCAAGTAATAAGCCTAAAATCCAGGCAACGTCGCAAACCAGTTTAATCACAACTAGATCAAAATTTGTCAAAATTAACTGGTCCATTAAAACACCAAGATGTAAAGTGTCCAATTATCTACAACAGAAACAGTAAAAATCAAACAGAGCTTGGATTAAAACAGAAACAAATATTGAAAAATACTAATCTCATCATATATTTGTTATCCTCATAACAGAAACAAAAATATTCCATGAAGGCATCATTCTGCACCTCGAGGTCTAACTGCTCATATCAGCCTACATGCCCTTCTTGCATCAGTTGTCTCCAATGTATTAAGATATTCCAGAAAATAAAAACTGAAGGTTGTGTTATATGTTATGCCAAGGCCTGATTTCATTCTGATCAGACTCTCAAAATTAGAACAGAACTCCAACAGATCTTTTTTGATGAATGATACTACAGTAAATCACCATTCTTTGGCAGCCTTGACCAATGAGAGCTGCACAATACAAAAAGAGATTCCCAGTCAATAAAATGAGTTCAGGTTTTGGCAAAAAAAAAAGTGGTGCCCAGTGGTCCATACAGATTCAAATTGAGATTTACAGTAAAGGACTCTGTTGGAGGGCAGCTCTAGGTATGAGTGTGTACGTGTCTGTGTGTCTGCCCTGCAATGGACTGGTGTTCCTTTCAGGATGTACCCTGCTTTGCTCCCGTTGCTTGCCAGGAAAGGCTCTGGCTTCCCTACGATCCTGAATTGGAAGAAGCATTTAGAAAATGGGTGGATGGACCCTGTTATATTGCTCAGTATCATTCACACTGACAGTATCACTGTGTGCATTTAGGTCTTTGTAATAATAGAACAATGGCAAAATCATAAGGGGCTGTTTCTTCACTGGAGACAGATATACATTTTATGCATCATTAGCATTAGTCGCAAGAAGTCACAAGTCACTTCTGTCAAGATCCATTAACCTCTTGCTGGAAAACCAAAACAGCCACCTGCCCTCCTTGTTCATGAGCGTTTTGTACCACTGAAGCAAAGCAATATGGGTATCGCACGTCACAACATTGTGAAACGAGATGTGCACACAAAAAGAAAAAAGAACTAATGTCATTCTGCTCACAGAAATTCAGAAAGTCATCTCACAGCAGCAGCTGCTTATTATGCTACCCAGGGATTTTTTCACTATCAATAAGAATTGTGAAATATTAAAAAATATGAATGTAGTATACTGATGATAGCTGGTAGCATAAAAGGGTAGAGGTAAAAAGTCACAGTGTTGAGACAGCAGGTTTAAAAATGTACAGCATGCAGTCCAACTAGTCTTAGTCACTCCTGTTAGAAGACACTGAAGGATATTGTGTGTTGAAAAATAATCTTTCATTTGGAAAGTTTAAACAGTTTAATTACACAAGCCTATAAGACACCGGAACTATAAAAACATGAAGATCTTCCAAGAGTCCATGAGCTGCTGTAATAAAATGAAAACAAATCAGTGCACAACACCGCAAGCTAAATAAAGCCGATTACAGCACAGCAAAAATTTTTAATACATCTCAGAACATAGGCCACATGAGCATAAAACTCTACATCCATACACACATTTTCTACAATTCTGATACACAAAAGCTTTTGAAAAGCAGGAAAACAGATATTCCTGCTCATACAAATGTGGTCTAAACTATTCAGATGAGAACATCCCCTTTTCTCGAACTTTAATCTTACAGACTATAAGAATTCAACCATTAATGTGCCCCCAACCATCAAAAACTTAGTATTGTGCTTTATGAACTGTATCACATTTAAATTGAACTGATCTGTCTATGTTTACATTTGTCTATTTGTCTATGTTTACATTGAAGGGCATCAACTCTGCATTTTTATGCATATTTGATTATAGAGTGCATTTTTATGTTCTGTATTGTGTACTGTCTCTCATCATCCTGCATTTTAATAATCTGTACTGTATATTGTCCATTCTGGTCCTGTATTTATATTCTGTATGTTATTGTCATGTGTCAAATGTCTGCAGCAAAGCTGTACCAACAACGATTTCCACCGGCCTCAGTTTCTAAGCTATTAAAAGATTTTTCCATTCGGGACAGATACGGTACTTGAAAAAACACAACAGGTGAACAGAAAAATAAAGCTTTGTAAATTTCTGGTGTACATACAATTTTCACAAATTTCTTCTAATAGGCCAGAAACACCAATCTGTTTGGCAAGGTTCTAGAACAAGACTTTGACCTCTCTCTTATCACTGCAATAGCAAAGCCACACACCAGAGAGAAGACAAAACACCATCTTTGTGTATGCATCTCTCTCTTAAATGACAGAACTGTAACAACTTTCCAAGATTTACCTGAATCTTCAAACAACACGAGTAAAACAATAAATTGAAGTGCACCTGAGATCGCATCTGATCATCATGATTTCATTCATCTGATTCCTTTTTTCTATTCTTTCAAATATCAGCTTACGTGGTAGTTAACTCTGAAAGTCTCTGGTATGAGTTGGTGTTCAGAGTGGCCTTTTAACATAAACAGTGACACTTACATGGAAAATAATGGCTTAAAAGAAACAGCTACATTTTTTAATCAAGTGATTTTAAAATGACAATGACTGCACTGTGATATGGTTCCTACAAAGTAAGAAGTGTACATCTTACTGCTCTACAATGTTCTGGAAATACAGTACAGTGCTGTTGAAATTCTAATAGAGATTTCTCTTCTAAACATCTCATTCGGCTTTTGAAAAAAGAATGAAATGAAATGTATGGAGAATAAAAGGTCATGTAAAGAGTGCTGAACATCACTGCATTCTTAAAAAAACAGCACTACCACTTCTTTTCTTTACATTTTATGCTACCTATCATCTTCAGTATACTACATACATATTTTTAATATTTCACAATTCTTATTGATCGTGAAAAAATCACAAAAGAGATGTACAAAAGGCAGGGAATGCACTACAAATATAGACGTCAAAATTAAAATTAAAGATATTCTCAAAAAGATATTGTCTCTTTCAGCAAGGTTGATATGGACCATCACGTTACAAATGTACAGTGACCTTCAAAAAGCTCACAGCAGGAAATGATCAAAGAACAATCTACTGTACATTTGTTGCATACTGTACACTGAAAGTGAGTCCATTATGGCAATATACTGTACTGTAATCACACCAGAATAGCCTTGAATTTTCTCATGACAGGAGTGCAGCCTTTTGGTATAGCAGAATTCTCCACTGCTTGAGGTGGTGGGTGACCCGAGTACTGGAACATTATGAAGGATCAGGATCCACTCATAGCAGGGGAAGAGCTAGACACACGTTGTCACTATTTCACTTGCGGACTTTGACAATGATTAACATTAAGTTAGCCAAAGGGGAATTTCATTTCACTGGAAAAAAGTTCCAATGTACTTATTATGTGTAGTGCTGGTATTGTGTGACCAAAAACTGCGGTCTGTACTTGTCTAAAATCTGTCAAAGTAACAGGACAGCCATACTCACCAATCTGCCCGGCCTTAACTTTGAAGGGAACATCTAGCTCGCTCTGTTAGAGAAAATAACCAATATGAAATAATTAAATAATAACAAGGGAATTAAATATCATGGTCATATAACAACAAATACATATCAAAGGAGTGTTATTATAGCTGAAATTTAGTTATACTTATATAATAATCTCTATAGGTATGAAGATCAAGGTTGCAGAGCAAAAGCCTGTTTTATGAAGGACATCAATCTTTCACGTTTTTTGCCAAAATGGAAGGCAAAAAGACTAGCTGTAGCAATAATCCCTCTAATTAATTTTCCAGAGCCACTCCATGACTTGTATTCAATATCTGACTGGCAGTGATTACAGCACTGATGCTCCCAAGACCACTGATCAACTCAAAAGCAAGCCTACAGCTGAGTCATTCACTCCAGAGTGTGCTCTCAAACAATCCCACTCCCACTTTACATCAGCAATGTTATCCTTCTCCAGTTAATTTATCAGGCTTTTTTAGTGTTCTATTTTAGGACCTCTGAGCAATACAGGTAAAGCTGAAAAACCTATCACAACTACAGTGAAATTCATGACTCAATTAACCAGAAGTTTCCCCCCACCCCCCAAGACTGACATTATAAAAGAAACCATCAACTCTATAATCAATAATTCATTTATGGTACATAGACCAGACCCATTAGTAACAATGGGTCTATAGTAACCATTTATTGTTGCATGGTTGTTGGAACACTGCTTGACACGTACACCTTCCGATCACCGAGACCACAGATGTCTTGTAAGCACATTTCAATCACATGGCATTTCCGTTGTTCTCAGCCACTGACATTTACACAATTCCCTGCATTTCTCATTTCCTTAATACACACCTAGATTAGCTTTCCAAAAGTGACTTCAACATGCAGGCTTCATAAAAATTCTACATCATAACCGTCTCAGGTTCCAGCTCTGCTTCAGAATCTTGAATTAACACCGAAACTAGGGTTGCCTTGCAGGAATACTGAGTCATAACCCTTTTTGTGCAAGAAGCCTTGTGACATATTGCATCAGACTATAAAGAGATTACTTTGTATTAAGTTCTAAGAGTGGAAGGAATGTGTTTTGCTTCCATGCGGCAACAGTGTAATGAATGTAAAGTTAGTTTTTTTTTTCCCAGAGAATGCACTTTCACACAACCATCACTTAAAAACTTGGTACTTACCAAGGCATTTTCTTTAACTTTAAGGTTTTCAAGAACCACATTACCTGCAAATAGAAAAAGAGTAGTTTATTGGCTTTATTGCATGTACTAAACAGACCCTACTGCAGTCTTGTCATAAAGAAACTATTTAAAAGGTCAGGATCAAAGTACAAAGTATATTATCTTAGGCACACTGCATATAATGCTGTTAAAGGTATTTCCATTCATTTAAAAGTGATTATAAACATCCCAGGATCAATTATACAATCAGAACAGTTCTGGAAAAATCCATACCCATATACTGGCTTTGTGAAAAATACAATAATAAAAAAACAGTAATCACCTTATTACAGTTTACAGAGCATGATAATCTCCTATTCCATCCATAAATTGCCTTAACTTCAATAATTAATGGGGATTATTCACAGTAATAAGTATTTTCTTTCACATTTAGCTTTGCAGGTCGAAATTACCACCTGATAAAAGAAGCCCTCTTAACCAGCCTGGACCATAACAATTAAATATTACAGTCCATCCTGCTGTAAAGGATCTGATCTCCACAGTAAAACAAAAGCAGTTTCACACAGCATGTGCCTAACAACAAAAGTTTCTATCACAAAATGACTCCCACCATACAATAAGATGCTGCAACATAAATACTGTATTTATATGAAACTTCATGACTATTTTCCACCAAACACCTGAATTATAGAAATGTATTAGACCATCAAGGATAAGACCTCTACATTGTTTTACTCAAGTTTTTCCAATGTAATCTTTGCAGCACTTGCCGACTGCATTATTGAAATCAGCTCCAAAGGTTGGTCTACTGACATAGAAGATTGCATGTCTGCACAGTGACACTTCGACCACACCCCTGACTGGTTAGAACATTGTAACAATTTGCATTACACCCAGTGTGACTTTGCTGTCTTTATCAGGTCTGTCCAGCATACATTGACGGTAGAGAGATTGTTGGAGTGCATTATTCAGCACCACAAAGACACACTGTCATCTCTAGACAACATTTTAGACAGATAGACCACCTTGAAATCACAGAGATAGCAAAGAGGCAATCTTTATTACTCAACTGGAGCATGGTTGTATTTTCACTGTTCTTGCATTAAATAAATACATGTCTTTTTAAATGGCTACTTATACACATGTTTAACGCATGCCAACCTATTCTGATAATATTAACTCAGAAATCAAACATTGAGACTGGTATTTTGTTATCCCAAGGGATGAAGCTAATCATACAATCACAAAACCTTTCTGCACGCTATTTAAAAATGACAATAACATTATGCATGTGTCCAATCAACTTCTGAAATAAACCTTTAAAGACTGTTGCATCTTCATTGTGCACAGATGAATAAAACCTTGTACTAGAGGAATAAATATTAACTAACAAGTTAATAGTTGCTTAATTAATGAGGACATTTTAATCTGTGGGCAATCACTATTGGACAATGACAAGGTTAGAATCATGTTAATTTGTAAAGAAAATTGTCCACACAGGTTTCTGGTGTCCATGGTTATTGCTAATCACTGTGAAGGTAGAGAATATAACAAGCTTAATAAAAGCAAAAGACAAGACTTCTCTGAGTTCACCAAGTGCTTTACTTTAAGCAACACTAATAGGGATATTTTGTTTAACTTTTTAGACCAAAACAAAACTGTGGCATTAGCAATTAGAAGATAATGGGTGGGCAGAACCCAAGTTAATGATTTAGACCCGATTTCAACCATGCACAGATTGTGAAAGCAACACAAATAATGATGAGGTAAGAGCTGTTTCAAAAGACATGACCAGTGGAGACCTGGGTGAATTTGTGGTAGATTTTTCTTTCTTCTTTCTTGTTTTACAGAATTGTCTTCAATAATTTAAACCAATTTACCAATTCTGACAAGTATTATCAGAATCAGAAAAGGGAAAGAAACACATCTTCCCTAAGAAAAGTCAATGACATACTAGACATTGCAACATTCTTACTCTTAATGTACTGTAGCTCTGTCAATGTACAGCGTAACAAGACAAACCAGTCTAGTTTATCTAGGGATTTATGCAATACACTGTAAACTTTCTTCCTCTAAAAGCTCCACTGTGCAACATTCATTTTCACTACTGTAGGAGTTAATTAAAAGTACAAGAATTCAGTAGTAGAATAAAGAAAACAGTATACTGTTATACTGTGGTTGACTGAGTCATTTCATTACTGAAGTGGAGAAAGAAGAATGAAGATACTCAGTACCTGAAGTTAACATTTTTGCCAACAAAATGACTGTTTCAATGGGATTCTTGTAGGAGGTTAATAACTGAGGAGAAATAGCTAGCAACCAACATTTTAAAACTGGCCTCCATGACCGGACCTGAAAATGTTTAAAGAATATCTGTATAATACAATCCATGTGAAGGAAAAGAAGAATAATGATTGTTTTACCACTGTCTAGTTATACGTCATTATCCATGACACTGAAACACCCATGAACATCAGCAATGTCAGGTGTGTCTCTGCACATTAATGTGCTTGAAACGGAGTTACTGTCTCACAGGGAAACGGGTCACAATTTTGGGCACCTTTTTATTGTGGCAGAACATGGCAAAAGGCAATTTTAGAAACACGTGCTTGGCTTCCAAGAATTAAGCTCCTCCCATGAAACTACTCTACTCAGGCCTTTCTAAAGCCTTGAGAAACAAATGCAACACTAGAGTCCATCCCCAAACATATATTATTCAACTGAATGCCATTCTATTGTATTAGACAAAGAATAACAGATGACAAATATTTTATGGAAAATGTCACAAAATACTGTCTTGATAGATATTTCAGACACTACAACATCGTATGAATGGTCTTAAAATTTTGCCTTTTGCCATCTTTTATATACTGTACATTAAGTACATCGATATATCCAAACTTCTTTAGGAAAAAGCAGAAAAACTAAGTCTAGAAATACTGCCCAGTTATCCACCTGGTTATATTGGCTGCTATTAAATCCTATTTGCAGGATTAAACTCTCAAACACATATCATATTGACATCATCTATCATTACGTTTTCTGCACAAAAATAATTCATTAGAAGCTTTGTCTTCATCTCAAACTGGTTTTGTCACATAAGTGAGAGCAAAAAAGAAAATGCTGTCGGCTCCAAAAGAACTGTGGACAATTCCACTCTTCAAAAATAAGTCAAGACAAGATCACTTGCCCTGGAGCAGTTAGGGTTAAGGGCCTTGCTCAGGATTCCTCTGCTGGCCACAGGATTTGAACTGGCAAGCTTCCAGCCACAGGCACAGCCTCTTAGCCACAGTGCCACCACTCCACCCAAGTTATACACCATAAAATGAAGTAAAATGAATTATATTTTAATTAGAAATAAGAGGTTTCTTAATATTTGGATGCCAAAAAACGCAGACCGCCCAGGATATTTCAGTTTCTCATTTAGCAATATTTATAAACAAGTAGAGAAGAGTATTATCAAATCTCACTTGTGGCTTATCTCTCACATGCTAAAGACTCCTTCAGAGGCGTTGATTCTGATTGAGAGGCGACGTTAGCATTCATCATTTTGACACTGAAAAACACAAACCTTGCTGGGCTCGTACACTGTGTACAGCACCCCTCCTTCCACACACAGCAGTGTAAACATTAATTATGGACGTGTACACAGCTGGGTAACCGTATACTGTACACCTCAAATGCGACAATCAACACATCTGTACTGCGTTGAATAAATCAACATACTGCAAACTTAAGACTTAGGCATTTTCGCTCGTCATGTGATGTGTTTTGTAATACACTCTTGTTCGCTCAGTTGGCTACAACTGTCGAGACTGACATGTTTTGGCCCTGAACCATGAGAGTTACTTTCCTGATTCCGTCTTAATAGCAATAGCTACAAAGCAGTGAAAACGTTAACATGCACGCAGAATCCTACCTCCCCAAATGCCAATCTTCAGCTGAGACTTGTCAAGATTTTCCACATAGTCGCCTATAAACCTGTTTAATAAATCGCTGACCAGAGACTCAAACACCATGGTTAAACAGCGGTGCACCCTGCCTCCGTCTTAAAGAAGCAGCTGTCTCGATGCAGTGTGAGCAGCACAATCCCGTGATGCCTGGCTCATCCCTTTTGTAGTACAAGTGCTAAACCGAAAGGGTAGGATTTTCTGTAATCAACTGGTTTTGCCTGAGCTGTACAGTATACTGGCGGCGGACACCGTCTGCGGATGCAGTCAATCAGTGTGACCGCAGCGGTATTACGGTAATTCAGCCTGCGGGTGCAGTGGTCACCCTGACCTTTGAACCGACTGTCATCGAGCTGTTTGCAAAGGTTTGACAAGTTAAATGAAAACGATTAAGAGTTTTAAGCTAATACATTTATGGCGCTTATAGTCACTGCACTGCAATAAGATATCTTAGTGTGAACCCAGGTAAATGAGAAGTAATTAATGACTTAGAAATATTTTAATATATGATGTAATAATATATATTTAAGCAATTAACAGCGAAAGAGCTGGCACTTATCTAAAATTAATCTTTTATCAGATGTGGTTGTTTCGTATATTCAATACAAGTGTTATGCTGTGATACTTTATGTTCTGTAAATATGTAACCTTGGAAAGAATATCAGTTTAAGAAGAGGAAAATATAACATCCTATACGCTTGATTTCCTGCTTACTTCTTACAATCTTTAAATGTGTGCACTTTATGTTACTCGTCGAAACTACTAAAGTTTGTTAGTAGTTTGTTGAGAAGGCATAGCCGTGTAAATTAATATATACAGTACACCTGAAGACAGTTCTCACTGTAGCTGACTGAATATTCATGCACACCTTTCAGTTGTTCAACGTGTTTACGGCTCTTTTAAAACCGCTGAAGGCTTGCAGAGCTGTTTCTTGGTATACTGTTTCAAAGACCACTTTGATCACTTCCATACCGAAAACTGGAACGTGTTTTATAAAAGTGCACCCTCCTGTAGTTCCTGTTCAGTTCGGACACTGGATTTTTAACATCATTAGTGTAATTTTTGCTTCTGCTGAATGCTAATATTTTTACTATGAATACTATTTATTTTAGTTAAAATAATTTGTGGATAGAACTTTTATTTTATTTAGACGGAATTCCAACACACCTACAGGTAACACGTTTACGTTGTTCCAGTGGGAACTTCTACACTACGATCTCCCGATTTTCCATCTCATTGTTTACAGATTGTAAAGGCGACTCTTGATAATCTCTTTCTGATCCTGATGTTAAAATGCTCGTACAGTACTAGTAGAAGAGTGCCTAATGATTCATATCAAATCACTTTCAAAATGTATCAGATTTAAATTAGTATTCAACTAAAACTGGAATACAAGAATTAGGAATATTACTATTCATATATAAAGATTCAAAATTCTGAACACAGTAAGTGTATTCCTCACATCACAATAAAAATACATCACATTTACCTATTTTGTTTACTATTCTACATAACCTTTTTAATTTGTTAAAGAGCTTTTGAAAGCACTGGGATATGTATATCTGGAATTATACCTGTAGGATTTACAGCTGTTACTTGAATGAAACTAAAGCAGTTTCAGTACTTCTTTAAGAAGGAACCCCCTAAATGACTTGCTCTTTACAGAAGAAAGAAATAGATTTGTTTTTACAATTAGTAAATGAATATATGAATCAAGCTTGCCTGCAATAAAGGAGACCTGGATCTCTGAGGGTGCTGATGTTTTCTTTGACAAGGATCAACTTGTGCTGTAGTCAGGTATAATACACAATAGACTTGTTTAGACTGTATTTTTCTATTTGTAGGTTTACTGTATGTGGCTCACAAACTGTTTAAAGGACAAGGACATAAAGATGAATACAGACATTTATCGTGAAAGTATTTTGTTACTTTGTTTCTAATACAGTAGCTGTTCTGTATCGGTATGAGGAAAAAAGAACCACCCAACACCTGAGCATGTTTTTCAAAAATGCCATTTAATATCAAACCAGCATTTAGCAAAGTATAAAAGTATAAATAAATAACACTTTTTGCTGTATATACATATAAATAGTAAAAAAGGTGTCCTGTAGAATCATTATGCAGGTGAAATGCTGCTCAGAGGGAGCTCACAGTCTCCCAAAACATAATCTCTTTTCATACTTGACATTTTGTTAACAACTTTAAACCTGAGAGACCTGTAAGACAGCTCTTCTTCAGAAATTCCATCAAAGAAAAAGTCCTCGTTGAAAATAGGGTTCCGGCTTTTCCGGATCACAGTGCTGCGCTGCTTCTGGATTTTTCCCGGCAGCAGAGAGATGCTGACACTGCAGTTGATGCTTTTGGGATCCACAGACAAGGCATACAGTCCTTCTGCACTGATCAAGCGCACACGGAGCCTCTGATTCTCTGGGCTATACTCAGCAGAAAGTCTTAGGGTCCCATTTTTCCCCAGGGGTATGAGGCTTTCTTTCATGAATCTATCCCTGTAGTACACTAGGTCCATTGGGAAAATTGCAGGGGGGGTCAAGCCATAGGGACAGGGCATGGGGTCTATCAAGCCCTCAGATGCTCTTCTCAAGATATTTGGGCTGTTGTCTGTTGAACTCCCCTCGTCTGTTGACAAAGAATTGTTCCTGCACACTGTTGATTTCTTCACAGTCCTGGACAGCAGCTTCTCCTGGCTCAGTGCCTTGAACAGAGAGGATTTAGGGGGAGACCTGTTTAACATGGGAGAGCTGAAAGGGGAGGACTCTGTGGACGAAGCAGTGTCACTGTCCAATGTGCCCTGCCTGTTCAAGCTGAAACTTCTGGGGGAGAGCCTGGAAGTTATGGCGTTCAGGCTGAAGGTGGACGAGGAGATTTTTGAGTACGTGCTGGACCTGCCTCTGGGAAGTACCACTGGGATCCCACAGGAGCCGGGATCGTTGTGGAACAAAGACTCTTTTCTCCTGGTGTGTGGGCTTTCAAGCAAGGTGCAAAACCCATAGGAGGTCTGGGCTTTTGCAAGATGGGGCAAGGACAGCGCAGCTTGGGACTGTGGATCAGCATTGGTGCTCTCTTCGTCACTGTATCCATAGTCAAAGGGCATCTCGTCCACACTTTCCACCTGGATCACATGAGTGTTGACCAGTTCTCGGTGCTGGGGAACCTTTCCAGGACTGCCCTTTTCCGAAGAGGAAATCTTAAGGCTGGGAGTGGGTTTGTTCAGTTCAGCAGTCTTGAGGTCCTGCTGTGAGGGGAATTTCGGCGGTATGCAGAACTCGGGGATTCTGTCGGGGGTGATGATATTAGGGCACAGGGAGATCTTTTTGTTTTTCGCAGACGACATCTTATCTCCTCCAAACATGATGTCTCCGATTTTGAAACTGTATTCCGTTATGGGGAGAGACAGGCTTGTTCTTTCCACAGACACGCGGATTTTGTCCATCACCCACATGGGCAAAAGATCAGAGAGAAGAAGCGCACAAATCTGTAAAAGCAGAAGACAACTTGTGAGCATAAGTGCTGATATATAGCTGGCATTCTGACGTGTGTCATATATGAAATTATACAGCTGTCTTGCTGATGTGTAAAAAAAGAATTCACATTATTACAAAAATCTATGATAACATTAAACAATGAATCGGTTTATGTATAAACATAACTTTATGAGCAAAAACCAAGTCTTAAGCTTACCTTCAGAGATTTCAGAAATTCAGCAATGCGTCTTTAAAGACGGGTTTGCTGAAGAATTACCATAAATGGTCCAGTGTTGTCAGAGAGCTTCTCAGCTGCAGGTCTTCCCCCACTTCAGGCTTGCTCAGGTTTCTGGTGTGCTGAGCGCTGCGGGCTGTATAAATAGGGCTGTGATGTCTGGAGCGGCTCCAATCCCATTCAAGCGCACCTCCCATGTGGAAGGAAGGAGCACGCTCTGGAAGGACCCTCCCCCTTTTCCTAGTAGACTGTAGTCATGGAAATGGTGAAACCACAACAGTACTCTTCACGGGCATGAGCATGCCTCATGAAAAAAAAAGGTTAAACAGATAAGCGATGGAGAAGGTAAACTGCTCGTAACAGAATAATCAAAAAGTTTTTCGATACAATGAGAACATTTAATTCGCTTATTTGTTTTTCCATTTTCGTGAATGTGCACACCGGAGTGAGATTATCTGGGTCAAAATGTAAGTGATGTATTAATTCCTCCAGCAGCAGGTTTATAAGAACTAACAGGTACTGGAGGTATATGTACTGTAAGTAAGGTTACAAACATGGGGTGACTATCTGGTTCATCTAGCTCTTTTGATACAGTAGTTCATTCATCAGAGGATCTCATCCAGTCTTTGCTTCCTAGAATCCCGAGTTCTGCCTTCAACAACGTGGCTAGAATAACTTTGTAAAGGTCTTTCAGGATTTTGAATTCTTGGATCAGGGCATGTCATCCAAGTAGTCAAAATCCTATACAGTATGTTTAATGTTGCTGGCTCAGTCATAACTCTCTCATGTTGTGAGCTGCATGACAGTACTGTCAAAGGCCTGCACATGTACCAGCAGGTGAAGACTTTTAATGAGTATCCACAGTAATATATTCTGTTGATCGAGTAGCCTGAACTGTCATTTAAAAAACATCAAATTTTTAAAGTACTTGCCTGCTTTTGTGTGCATCTATGCATGTGTTTTTGTTTGAAGTAAAAACCATGAAGTGTAAAATTACCAAAAAACTTCTACTATTTATGTAGAAATTAGCATTTATGTAACATTCTACTGTGTTATGCACTGTAAGGACAAATTACTGCCTGCAAGTCACTTTGAATATCTACAAAAATATATACTGTATAATGTATGAAATGTGCAACTGTTTTGCATTTATAAATCAGTTCATTTCTATTAATGATCATGCAAAACAATCCTTAATGTACAGTATGCAGTTAAAATGACTTTTCTCTAAATTATTCTTCAGTAGTTGACTCCATAACTTATTTTAATCAATTCTAACAGCTCCTCTGATCCCCAATATGTGTGGTTCGTTCCTAAGCTCCTGACAAGGTATGAGTCATACCTGCCTACAATAGAAAGATGTTATTCAGCCTCATGTCCCATCCAGCTCCAGTCATCTTTCTCATCTCTACTCCATCTTTTTCGAAGATATACAATATATTCACCCACTCTCTCCCACCCCCCAACACGCACCACCACAACACATGAGCTCCGACAACATATAGCATATGTGCAGCACATGAAAAGGAGCGTAGTGAAATTGCAGCTCTTGATCCGGAGATCCAGTATGTGTCCAGGATGTGCAGGAACTGTAGCTGGGGGCCTTCTCCACGTGGTGCCATCCCCAGCCCAGGCTGAGCTCCCTGTGCTGTGTGACCATTTCAGCAGCTCTATCAAGAACGCTGTGTGTTTGTTTGTACTGTAGGTCATCCAAGGTCTGTGCAAAAGAGGTCCACAGATTTTTACTTATAGTTTCTTTCATTAGGCCCAATGGTAGGGTATTAGAGACCTTGTTCAAAGTATTGTTCGGTTATTCCGGTTCTGTGGTCCTTGGCAGTCCCCATTTTTTAACCCTACCACCTGTTGTTCTCCATATCCCACCTGGTACTTGTTGTCAGTGTGTGGTGGATTTAATTATAGGCACGTAATCTGCCCACATTAAAGCTATGGGCTGCTTTAAGTACAAAGAATGATTGGACAGCAGTTGTCATTGTTGTTGGTATCTTACCTGTGTCAACATGTTTGCCTCTTGTGTGCTAATACTGTTAAATACAGAGTGGGCCTTGAATGTCCAAATGAATTAACAGAAATTCACTAACTTACTTTGGATAAAATCAGTTGTGTTTATGGCCATTTTTTTGGAAACTACCTTGACAAAATGAAAACATTGCCAATAAAAACAAAGTACAAGCTTGTCCGTGCTATCTAGTGGATAGAAGCTTTTACCTTATGTTAAATAGTTGCATGCTTCCATTTTCAGTCTGCTTGTCTGGGTGAGATTTATAAATTCTACATTTTGTGGGTCTACTTTAACCAAGCTTCTGTTTCTTCTCTGTTCCTCAGGCTGTAATAGTAAATTTGATATTAGACTGCAGCAGTCTTGAGTTTCCTCTTCCAATGGAATGAGAAGCTGGTCTGCTGTTCTGATACTGGCAGATATGGCAAGTCTAGGATTATGTCTCTCATTTTAGTGAAGAGTGTCTAATAATGGAGTATTCCTTGTAGCTCTGTGTATCTCTTTCTCTGCTGTTCCGTGAAGGCAACGGAGAGACAGCCTGTGATACCAGGTCTTGTTAGATGTGTCCAGCAATTTTGTTTTTTTGTAAGATGTTCCCGTATCGTTAAACGAATGCCCTTCTTGTTGTATCAGTGCAGAGATTGGTGTAGGCTTTTCAATTCACGTGTTGCCTAATGTTAAAAATAACCTTATCGAAATACACACAAAAAAAAAAAAAATCAAAAAAAAATGAAGAAAACAACAACCCCCCCCCGGGGGAAAGAAAAAAATGGCAAAAACGAATTTGTTTTCCTCCAGAAATTAAGCACGAAATTTATTTCAAAGATATATTTACCATTGGGGTATATCCTTTCAATATTTGTATACAACTAGGACTTCAGAGTGACTCGGCCAATTAAGGCGCAATTTGTCTTCCAAGTGATGTCGTAACCATTTTTCTACCAAATTCTGTGCAGGGTGTTATCACTGTAAAGAGGTCTGATATAGAAAAGACTAAAAATGTTTGAAATCGGTTGAACTATTGTAATACGGTTAGACTGTTAATCCTACTTTGAGATTTTTAAAAATAATTTCATTATCCTGTTACTTCCCGCTGCAATGACAATTTCAGTTATTACAGTTCTTACGCGACACCTCGGCCGCTTCGCCTGGCGCTGGCTCTCTGTGTGGAGCAGTCCTGTCCTGTGTGTTCGGGGGTGGGAGTCCAGGGCTTGCAGGCCAGGCGTGCTCTGCTCTAGGTGTGATTAAATTTCTTACCTTTCGCCGATACCTATATATATATTTTTTACCTTTAAGAAACGTACTGTATCTCTTTCTGATCTCTTCAGAGGGGGAACACTTTTCTGTTGAATGTAATAGCCTGAAAATCAATCAAGCAAAAACGTCAGTACCGAAATTGGAGTGTTCAGTCCGAACCGCAGGGACAACTACCCAGCTGGGTCTCCCACACTGGCAGACCTTTCTCGCCAGGGAGGAAAAAGGCAATTCAACCCGCCAAAGGGGCTCTATCCAAGACATGAAAAGACAGGATCATTTACCTACTGATGGCATTAATTACCTGGCTGCATCTGCGCAATGCCCCCCGTTGAACCACTGAATATCCTGTATCTGTTTCTAATACGTAATGATACAGTGTGTAGCTACATAATCAGGCTCACGTGTTTATTGTAGAATCTTGCATTCCCTGCGTCTAATGACAGGAATCTCACCAGGACCTTAATCCTTTTCATGCTGAATGGTGGAATGGTCAGATTACGCCGCTTTTAAAAGGAAGCAGTTGAAAAGAAAAATATCTAAGCCTTGACAACTCATAAAGAGAAAGCATGAGGCCAAAAAATTAGCTTTTACATTTACAGTAACTGTACTGTCCACAAGAGAGCAGTATGTGTGTGACTGAACAGCCCGCGGAATTGGTTATTTTTCCGTGTCCAGCCTCAGAAGATCCTACGGTGTAGCGCGCCCAAAATGAATGTTGGGAACCAACATTAAAGCTGTTTACCCACATTCAAGAAATGGCAATTTGAGATGTGCCCACCCATAAAAATAACTTTCCACAACTGCAGATTTAATTACAAGAAGAAGGGGGTGAGAAGGAAGGAGAAGATGAACAAACTCATTTGCCCTTCTGCCTTTAATAACGCGAACACTTATTTTTATAGATGCTCTGACACATTTTAAAACAAGAAGCAATTTCATTTAAAGAAGTATATTTCCAAGTTTTTGAAGCACATGCATCCAATAGGGTAGAAAATTTACCCTCCTGTGATGGTAAATCTGATTGCACCGCAGTCATTTTCAATTAACAGTTGTGTCCTAAGGTATGAAAAGCATGTAATGCCAGTTATGTTGCAATGATTAATTCCACATTTACCTTATTTTTTCTATGCAGGAGGCTGGCCTTTTAATAGTGCTTTGGGGGAACATGTGCTACAGCCAAAGTTATGATGAAATCCATCTGCACTTAATTTTCCTTCATTCATTAAAAGATAAGGATCTTAAACATCTTGTCACAACAGCTCTTGTTTGTAGCTGGAGAGATCCAGTACTGTCTGCAGGATGTACAGTATATCTTTGCTAAATTAAAAGTTATAGTCAGGTGTGAAATATGGGATCACTTGGAGATTACAGTGCTGGGATCGTTAAACAGCAAGAGCTTTAAAGAATAGTTTTAAACAGTCTATTTGTGGTTTAGGCACTTACACTCCAGAGAGATTCAACATACATCAAACACGCTCCAGATTCATTTACAACTCTAAGCCGACAATCTTTTTCTAAACAGTTTTGTTAGTGTTTTAATGCTGCTGCCTGAAGGGAAATCCAAAGTTTTAAGGTTTGGAAGACATTTAAAATATTTCAGTTCCTGCCAGTATATTTATTACAGACTTTCATTGTGGCGGGACCATCAAATTTCATGATGACATGATTATCCATAACAACCAGTTTACTGCTGTCTCATGTGATGTACCAGTGAAAAAAATAAAGTTTAAATTGTTTTGATAAATATTTCTATATTGCACAACTTTCCTCTGTTCTCACTGCTCTGTGGTGTTGTCTGCTGCACGTAAAAGTAATACCACATCAGCTGACAAAATCCACTGGAACCTAACAAAAAATAATCAGTCATTGTTCATTTATTTTCATTGTTGTTGGTATCTAAGATATCAATAGCAACTAACCTGATCTGGTTTAAATCGAGACTACATGAAACAGTATAAGTGTATGTAACAACTGTTTGCAAATAGCCTAGTAAAAGTCATATTCTAGTCATTGGTGAATACATTCATACACTCCGACAGATTCCACTACTGTATCCCACTAAAGGATAATGGAAATTAAAAAAAGTACATGAAGCTGCAGATCCATTAAGAAAATAAATTAGAAACAAAGTAAAATTACATACTGTAAGAATGCATTAATCAAAATATAAATTTACAGTGCCCTCTGTAAGTATTGGGGCAAGAAAGTCAAAATTCCTGTTTTTGCTGTATACTCAAACAATTTGAATTTGAGATGAAAACATGAATATGAGGCAAAAGAACCGAATGTCACCTTTTATTTCTGGGTATTTCTGTGCCCATAATTTGTGCCTTTTAAGAATAGCACTTTTTATGTTCAATTCATCACTTCAGGTGAGTATAAGTATTGGGACAATTGGATATTGGGTTTTTTTTTATTGGTCAGGTGTTTCCTGTTGCAATGATTGTGCTCTCTAAAAAGAACTGTGAATGTGTACTGTTGGATTTGATTGGATTTGCTCTTACTTTTGGTGTCTACCTCTGGAGTTAGTAGACCTAAACCAACATGAAGACTAGAGAACTATCTATGAAAGAAAAGCAAACAGTTTGGATGTTAAAAAAAGAAGAATTCAATCAGAACCATAGCACAGAAACTGGACATAGCAAAATGAACCAATTGGAATATTTTGAAAAAGAAGGAAACCACTGGTGTGCCTAGCTTTTGGCAATGACCAGGTTGAAACAACTGCTTTTGATGCTAGAAAAATTATCAGAACTATGAAGAAAAACTCTAAACCAACTGTTGATGCAATCACCAATAACCTCCACAGTGCAGGGGTGAAAGTATCACAATCTACTGTTCACAGAAGACTTTGACAGCAGAATTAGACAGGCAAAACCACAAGATGCAAACCTCTCATCAGCACCACAAATAGATAGAGATTTGAGCCAGTAGAGTTCTGAACAAATGACCCAAAACATACTGCCAACGCAACCACTGGGGGGAAAAAGTGATACATCTTAGACAGGCTAAGTTAGTCTCCTGAT